TTGATATTTTTCTGGACAGTTCCAGTTGGCGTGGCTTCCGCCATGGTTTCCTTTGAGAAATTGGAGAAAACATTACCATTCTTGAAAAAATGTAAGAAAATTGGATCATGTGGATTATTACATAATTGAACATTATAATGTATGATTGTACATGTAATTAGTTTTTTGTAGGTTTGTAGCCTACGGCTTATTGGGTTGTTGCAACAGACTGTGCGACTATTGTATACAATATTAGCAGAAAAATACATTTGCAGTTATAGTCAGATCATATTTCCATTGACAAATTACCAGGACAGCGAATCAAAAGCTATAAGAAAATTGATGTGCATTTTCTATCTTTGCTATACTCAATTTGAAAATTGTCTAATTTTTGTAATATTTAGTGGAGAAACTTGGACCAGCTGTGACAGGATTTATCTCCGGCTTTCTATCAACTGTTGTTATCGTCGCATTTTTTGCATTATTGCCAATGGTACGTGTAACTTGACACAATATGCATTATGTGTGTCTCATATACTTTAGGTATTATTGTATACAGATGCATTCACATAACTTGCTTAGATGAGCGGGAAGAGGTGAGGTGCTCATACACCTGTTAAAAGTTGACCGGGTGCTTCCGCCACCTATACACCATGCAGTGCATAGCCATGTATTGGTTGTGTGGTAAGTGGTGAAACGTTGTTCGAATTACGAAATACTTCCCTCAGTTCCCTTTATCAATTTAAATCAAGAAACCTTCATGAAGATGACGAATTATATTTATGGTTAAACGCTTTTCGTCTTTTTAGATACTGACATTTTTATCATACATCAAAGGCATTCCAACTTATAGTCAAATACAGAAAGATGTCCTGGAAAAATTGTTTGTTTTTAAGGTTTGTATAAAGTCTTGTTCGGTTCTTCAATGAGCAACAACGTTGCCAGCCAATCGCTGATTTGTGTGTTCACCTGTTAAATGAAGTTGTTTCTCTACTGTTTATATTTATTATCCTACGATATACATATATAACAATACTGTATACATTAGTGATCCGTACTCGAGTGGGAACCGCCGCGGAACACTAGGCTTCACAACTACCTGAAACATAGAACAACCGTCGACATTTCGAGTAAAGGGCGTTTGTCTGGAAATTAGTAGCGTGGGTTGGGAAAAATGCCTTTTACTGATGCATTACAAATTAAAGTGATCACGTGATAAAAATACATTTTGATTCAGTTTGTTATATGTTAATATGGAAGAATATAGTAGTGATAAAAGTATAAGTACAAGGAATACATGAGAACAAGTATGAAGTTAGGTGAGATGTAGAAGTATTGTCCACTGCTAACAACAGGCATAGACAGGTTAAAGCTAAATATAAGAAAAACGCTCGTTAATATCATGGGGGTGGACGGTGGAAATTTTTCATGTCTTTGCGGCTATCATTTCCCACAAATTGTATTTTTCGCTTCCATTGGCACCCAACATTCAGTGTAATACACGCTTGTGGAAAGTACGTCACCTTGGCTATAAAGCCTCGTTTTCGTGATTTTGTGACGTTGGATTTTAACTAACACCACGTAGACAAAAACGAGGCTCTATGGTCAAGGTACTTTCGCAAAGGTGTATTGTACCATTTCACGTTCATCAAAACCAAACGATATGAAATATTGTTCTTTTAATTAAGGTGCTTAACCAGTTTGTATTATACATATTGGGAAATACAATGTTGGAGAAGCTTTCAGACATCCTTGACCATCCATCAGAAATTCCGTCAGTCATGGCGAAAGAAATGCCTTCAGCTGCAAATTTCTTCATTAATTTCATCATGTTAAGAGCAACAACTATCTTTGGAATGGAGCTATTGAGAATTGTGCCTCTCATTCTCATAAAAGTCAGGAGAAAGTAGTAAGTTGAAGAAATACACCTATATATACTTAATTTGCGATTTGTTGAAGTAGGCTAATGGTCAGCCTTATAGGGAGGAAGATCACACAATCCTGCACATCTCGATTTAGATACATTTAAATAAATGAAATGTCGTATAGATCCAGGGGCGCCGGAGCCACGGGGGCAGCGGGAGCAACTGCCCCCATTGCCCAACAGTGCGGGGGCAGCATGGGGGCAACATGTTGCCCTGTTTTTAAGCAAAGTTTAAGCAATCTTTGCATAAATTTTAACCAGTTGTAGTAAAATTAATGCTAAATCAGGCAATATACTCCGTACTCCGTCAGGACTCCATTTAAACCAGCCAATGGCTGAATTGGATGATCCTGATTAAATATTGTTATCATCATTGTCATCAACAAATAAAATTGTTCAAAATTAATGTCGAAGTTTGCAGACCCATAATAGTCACAAGTAATCGTGTATCCATACAGTAAAGTTTTAACAAATATTGCCGCCCAAAAAAAATGGCTGAGAAGCAAGTGCCCTTTTGAAATGGCTGCCCCCGCTGCTTCACATTGCCTCCGGCGCCCCTTTATAGATCCAGTGCTTTCAATAAGAATTGTAATAGTAAGCTGCGGTTAAAAAATAAGCGTCTGTTCCCACAATTTACAGACAAAATACAAATAAGCATTGGTAAACCATTTAATCAGAACCGCCGAATAATAATAATAATATATATAAAAAGAAAACACTGTTGTTCGTATATCTTTAATATTCTGCTTATTCCGCGTAGCTTGCAGAAAGTTTGGTTGCCAAAACATTAGACTTGCTGCAGGTCGACTCGTATTTTTAGCTGCGCGGTTGAGCTCAAATTTCTCAGGTCAAAGTGCGGATTTTAGCGATGAGAAGTCTCGTTCCTCGGCTGCGCTCGGGAGCTCAAGCTCTCCCATTCATTTTACTTGTTACAATGCGAGTCGACTTGTAACTACAGTAGGCTACCCAGACATCTTTTGTTGCGAAAGACGACGAGTAAGTAATTACTATTAACCACTGTGAGCAATTTCTTTTTTGTGAATTTAGTTTAGTCAAGAGTTCTATAGAGGATAAAGAATGTTGGGAGCCACCGGAAATGTGGTATTCAACACAGGTTTGCTTAGTTCCATGTCTAATTTTTAGACAATGTTTCATTGCCAGTGGTTATAAGTGCATTACGTATGGCAATATGCCAAAGCATATTTTCCAGTTTTATAAATTGCAGTGCCAAAACCTTTGCTACTCAGCTGACTATTTAGTAATTACGAGTTTCTTATTATAGTATGCTGAAATGTTGTTGGTATTCATCATTCTTATCTCATACTCAGTCCTGGCTCCGTTAGTCATCCCATTTGCTGTGATGTATTTTGGTTTCGGTTACGTCACTTGGTTAAATCAATTGTTGTTTGTCTACGTGCCAAAATGGGAGGGTGATGGCGAGATGTGGCCAATCATATTTCATAGGTAAGATTATTTATCGAACGTGGCCTAAAGCAACTGTAAAGTATGAGTATGTTAATTTGTAAGAATGTTCTTTTTTTTCGATGAAATAACTTTTTTTATATGAAGCTTTGCTAAAAAGAACCTAAAACTACAGTAAAAGGTTAAACGTTACGTAAAAATAAAACAACTATTTTTTAAATAACGTTTCTTGTATATATTGTACGGGATGACTTGAGATTTAAAACTCGTACAAAGTCATTCAGGTCATCACACAAAAATGTAGTGGGAGTAAAGGCTCGGGGTATCCTGCCAGCAGTGGTTTCTTAGAGAAACTACAGCGAGAAGGATAGGTTCGAGGGTAAGTTTGGGGTGAAAAATTGTATGTATGTATACTGTTTAACTCTGGTCAACCCACAGACCAGTGGGCGAAACCAGCCATAGCAACAGGTCATGCTATGCAAATTTTTAATGTTTCATGTTAGATGCAGGTTTATTAGCATAGCATGACCATTTGCTATGGCTAGGCTGCGCCACTCAGTGGTGCCACTGCACAGACTCATTTCAATCCTACAATTTTCATTGTGGTAATGATCCCCAAGACTCACTGTGATAATGATCCCCAACAGTGTAATGACCCGCTAAGGCATCAACTTACAAGGAGGCATATAACCTCCATTGGCAATCTATAGGCCTGAAAGTTACTTTTGGGAGCATGACTTCATCCCCGTAGATACACAGAATGTGTATTCTCCACAGACATAAAGAACCCATCTCCCACAAAGCTGTATAGAAAGCTTTATTATTTCTCATACTGCGGCTGGAATATCATGAGCCCAGGAAAAAACTGCAGTAAAGGAAACCTGGATACAAACGTTTGAAATTACTTGAAGTTTTTGTCCATAATAAAACTTCAAAAAATTATGATATAAATAATTTTTAAGTATGATTGATTTATGTTGTATATTTATTACAGAATGATGGTGTCAATTATTGTGTTTTTATTGTTCATGATGGGTTTATTTGGTTTGAAAAAAATCGCACTCCTTCCAATTCTACTTCTTCCACTCTTGGTGATTTGTATTATTTTCTGGCATAACGTCAACCAGGTGTTTGCCAAGCCATGTGCTGCATTGACATTTACGTCGTGTACAAAAATACGTGACCTTAGTCCAGATTTGATAGAGGTAAATAATATCTTATACATTAGAATAACATTTCAACACGTCTGGATGGACATGTAGATGGGTCGGAAATGTATATTCCGCTCACACTATCACGACATGGCACTAGGCATACTAGTTTACAAGCTGCTGTAACACTGTTTTGTGCGTTGGTGCATAGTCATGATCACTTATACAATGGATTCCCACATCACCATTTCAACCAAGTCTTTATTTCGTCTTCAGACGTTAAGTTCGATCGAAGTCCTTTTCTATCTCATATCGAGTTAGTTATATTCCTATAGGGTCTATCAGTCCAGTCTGTTATGAGGTCAGTTTCAATTTTGTCCAAATCGAACGGAACACCAGTAAACATGAGCACTGTTTGTTATTGATAGGAATATTTCTAATAAACATGTCATGCATGCATGTACATATACATGTAAACCCTTACATTATAGGCCTACTATTCGAATTCTAGTCAAAATATGGGAAAAGGCAATTTAACATTTTTGCAACTATTCTATATATGTAACTGCAAAACGCAACCATTCGGTAATTATTAAACTGTAATTTTTTGTATTTTGTTTCATGCAGAAAACATTTCAGAAATACAAACAAAATGAAAATATTCCTGAATTTCCAAGTGACGACATTGATGAAGGCCATGGAGAATTACAGTCAGTCAGTGTACAAGATGGTGGGGAAAAACAAAATCTTTTATCAGGAGAAGACGATTGAAACAAAATCATTACGTCTTAGGATATTCTTTAACTATTTTTGACACATGCACAAGGAACACTGCACAACACGCTACAGTGTCCAAGCAATCTTACAATGGTTGAAAAGTGTGAAACAATGTAATCTAGGTTAGATTGTGGATTGTCATTACAAATGAGCGCCAATTGTCATTAACATGCAGTCCCTGGATATATTAAATTGTTATCATGGTGGGAACGTTCACAAAGGATTGTGGTAAATCGACATATAATCCAACTTCGTTTCCAGGTTTTTTACAAGAGGGAAAAGCTGGGAACGAGGTTGTATATAATTATGTAATCCTATTTTTGTGATATGTGCTCAAATGTTGGATCTCTAAATTTCTACTGTATGTTTAAGGTTACAGGACACCCTTTTTGGCGGTTTGCGGAAAATCGCTACTGCGCGCTCAATATCATTCCGATTTTCATCAAATTTTCACCAAATGTTCTCCAGTGCATGCAAAATATGGTAAAGTTGTAAAATTAACAAACAATAAAATAATGTAAGAATTACTCGGGAAAATCTTAAGTCGCGGTACCGTTACGCTTTTGAGTTGTACTCCTGCTGGTTTTAAGTTATATTTATGAAAGTATCATTTTTATACAGTAAAATAGTTGTTCTAAAAAATTGTGTTCGGAAATTTTTGTTTATTTCGCCATTCCGCTGATATGGCGATTTCTTTGACGACTGCAATATATTTCTGAATTGTTTGAGTGAATTGCTCTTTATTTTTAAAATATCCAAAATTTAAAAAAAAAAGCCGAACACAATTTTGAAACTGACGACTTAATTTAGCTATGTCCTGTGAAAATTTGAGAAAAATTGGTTCAAACCCGCAGGAGCACAACTCGTTTGAAAATCAGTAATTACCGTAAACTTTTTCGGGAGAAAATTGAATTTGAATATTACATTTTCAATGTTTTTCTTATTGCAGCGAAATGTATTTTATTAAATAACTCTGCGAGTTTTCAACATTTTTCGTTCAAACTTGGTCAGATAGTATAGAACTAGTCTAATGCTTTCATAGAAACCAATAAAAAATGTTTCGGCAAAATTAACACTCAAAGGTGTTCTGTAACCTTAAGCTATCGCTGTGAAACGTGTATATACCAATGATCGATGCTTATACCTTGTCAATGTATAATGTAATCAAAATTCGATAAATCAAATAATCATTTCTTTGTTTTTAATTCTCTGCAGTATATAATTTGTTGAGCTCTTTGTAATCTATTGCATGCACTCATTAAATTATTAAACCACGACCTCCTGTCTTTATTGGTTCAGGACGTAATTAGACGAAGCAATCTGTATCACAGTGAGTCAGGTGTAGATATAACATGGGATAGAGTGTTCTTTACCACACCTGAAATTACGTTACATTTTATTACGATTTCGTCGAATCTTTGAAGCTGTCTGTAAAATTTTCGAAACTCCACAGTTCAGACTTGTTGCTCCTGTCCATTTCTTTCAAGTTGTTCTAATTCAATTTCTTGCAAGCTAGTTCTGGACGTTTTAGAATCATGTCCGTCTGACGGTTCTTCGTCTTTACCAGGTTGTTGTCTCTTGTCTGTGCTCAATGCAAACATCTCTGGTACAAACTGAATCCTGTTGTACTTTTCTGAAGAAATCTATACAACACGGGAATAAGAATACAATCATTTCTCGATATAGCTTATCTTTGAACCCACATATCCGACCATTTAAGTAAGTATAGTAAGACTATATACACGCGAGTTTGAAATTTCATTTTTATTGTAAAATCATCAGACTATGGCCTGTGTCGATCTCGACTCAGACATGATGTGATTATAACACATACACATGGTAGTATATATCTCGTCGTGAGTCGATGACGTTAATAATTAAGCAAAAAGCACTATTTCACTACAGTAACATACATTCCTTCATTTGTTTGTTCATCTACATTATTTACGTTATAACGTTTCTCTTAAACGTCAGGCTGATTGTACCGCAAAAATTGGCCCGTACGCCTATATGTTTATTGTACACACTGTACCTTTAGAAACTCATTTTCAGGCGTTTTAATTTCTTTTGCCAGGGAAAGGTTGAGGTAGACAGTTGAACGATCAAAGTTATTTCGTATAAATTTGTAAAAAACAAACGTTAATACAGGAAGAGGAATGGAAAATGAAGAAACGAGAGCATTTCCTTTCAATGCAAACACACCAATCATGAGAATTTGAAACACAAATATCCCGATCATCATTCTAAAAATTGAAAATTAAAGCGCATATGAAACAATGTTCTAAAAATCAGAAAAGGAGGGAGGGTTGGGGGCAACCCTGGGGCGGAGGCCGGTGGAAGGGGCTGTGCACTCTCAAAATTTTGGCATGGTCCGGGCATGCTCTGGAACAATTTTTAATTTAAGTAGTTCAGAATGGTTATTTCATGCGGGCTAACATTTTTGCAGACAGATCCACAAAACAATAATATTCTCAACTTTTTGACATTTCTCCGCCTCCCTCATATCAGTATTTTTTCGCGTTTGTCCTGATATGATATATTCGTTTGTAGTAAGCTCTCTTAATTTGTTGCTGTCCTCTTCTTATGTCATTACTTTGCACTGTATTGTGTCTCAATCTCACCTGTTAAATACTTTTGGCCACATTATACCACCAGCTTTAAATGAAGTTTTACAGACGTAGATGAGACGGTAAAAGCGGACGACATAAGCCAAACCAAAATACATCACAACGAAAACCAAAACCAGAGGAGACAATACAGAATACGCTATTCCAATTATAAACACAAAAAGATTGTTTGCATACTATATAAAAGAAAAGAAATTTTCCCTTGTCGATTTTTATATAACGGAAGACAATCAATAAATAAACCACATGCGATTTCAAGACTAAAACTATGAATCATGGTGTCTGAATACGTGAATTTACTCCATTTTGTTCCTTCAGACATAATTCTTTAGACTTCAAATTACTCATATAGCTATAGCCTAACTTCTGTTTTCCAATCTTGGCGTCATTTGTTCAGCATATAGTGACATTAATTTAGACCCCAGTAACAACTTCAAAGAAGTTGAAACTTGGGATGTTTCAGTTCATTCCCACTTAATAGCAAGCTTAAGCAAGCGATATTTTGTCAACACGGACTTCACCTAAAAATAGGTAAAGAAAAATGCTTATATGGCACGCCACCATACATAACTAATTTTGGAATACTAGTATTTTGCCTCAGCGATCGTGTCCTTCTTTACCGTTATATCGATACCATTACGCCATGCATATAGAATCAACAAGTGAACTCAAAGCAAAATCTTTAAAAGTATTGTTTTGTCATGTATATATGTGTTGAAGATTGCCATAAACTGACACATATAAAGTTTTATCCAGTCCCCCTTCGCAATCGGACGTTCGTGTTGACAAAAACGTCGATTACTCGCTACCTACCAATCCTGGATATCTAACAGGAGGAGGTACCCAGACTTCATTATTTTCACGAGCAGTCTTGCAAAACCTAACAAATAATTTTAAACATCCAATAATTTTATCAATTGATCAACTTACACCAGTACAAGACCTATTAGCTGATACTACAACAGTAAACGACTTGGAAATTAAAACAAACTGTTGCATGTGTAATAAAGAGCCATGCACATAGGACGTGCTTTTGCTCCTGGTATAGGAGACCTTCAGGTGATTCTTTTATGATAACAATTAGAAGAATCGACTGATAAGAATTTAGCTGGTGGGACATTTGCCAAATTATAAAGTGTTACCAGATACATATAGGCATATATGAGACAAGGAAGCCGGGGTGGGGAGCAACTACATATACTCTCCCAAAAACCTTAGAAAATCACGCATGAAAATTCGGGAAAATGCTACGAAAAATCAAGGGGGTTCGGGCAGATTTATCAGGCCAGATATTTAGAAGGGATTTGTAGATGGAAATTTCGAGTGTAAATTTTATACATTTATTAGATCCAACCAGGAGCAGGCCAATGTATATATTATGAGGCCCTCATGCAGGCAGGAATGGAATCTTCGGTCCTGCGATTCCGGTACAGCGCTCTAACCAACTGAGCTACAGAGGCCAGTTAATGGATCATGGCTGATACCTGACCCCCACCCTAACTCCGCCTCTAACCTCTAACCCCCCGTTCCTCCCCTCCCCCGCCTGATATGAACATTACTTATATACAGCAAAATGAGCTCTAATTATTACGATGCAAAAACTGATAAATGAAGTATCTACCAGTTAATGTCGAACTCTAACCGCAGGACCCACATGCTTGATTCCTATATCACCGGCGTTGTTTCAACGTTGAAATTTGATAGAAAAATGGTTGTGACGTCGACAACCTAATACTGATCAACGTTGCTCTGATGTTGTTTTACAAATGTTGGTTCAACAGCAGCTAACAGACGTTAAATCAACGCCGTTCATTCATGGTTGATTATATGACGTCAACTTGTGAAGTAATTTCAACATGGATTCAACGTTGAATGTTGACGAGATTGGCAACCTAATCTCAACGTTGTTTAATTAACGTCAAAAGAGTAACGTCGATCCAATTTGCATTTTCAATCCTTTAAATATATCAACGTCTATCCAACGTCTGGGAGATCATTTTCTACGTTAATCAACGTCCAGGTTGAATAAACGTCGTTTTGCCGGCTGGCTGCCAGGGGGAAGTCTAATATATAAAATTCACACTCGATATTTCCATCTACAGATCCCTTTTACAATGACTACAATTAGTTATGTCGAGTGTATAGATGCCCAAAATCGTATGGCCAGATAGCGTATAGTTAAGAAATGGTTAACAGCAAAAAATTGTCCCCTAAAGTGCACATAGCAGAACTTACCACTTCCGTGTAACAGTGACCAATAGTAAACGAACCAAATGAAGAATTTCCATTGGAAACCCAGTTAAGGTTCGAAGCATTATAATGTTGATGAAGAAATTAGCCATACTCGGCATCGACTCCGCAAGGAATTGAGGAGTTCGTGTTGGATAATCAATAATATCATGGAGTCTGGTCAGCAGTGCACCGCCAAATAATACACCAAGGAATTTATTTACAAGCTGAAAGAAACACGGAAGTAAAAAGTGCTGTTGAAGAATTTTTAAAAAAGAGCTGGACTTTTAATTATTACTGATTATAAAAAGCTTCAAAATCGACATCTTTATGATATCATTTCTGTATATGCAAACTTGTACTCAGAAAAAGTACGAATCTTTATAAATATAACAGAGTACGAGAAACATTCAAACAAAGAAGCTTTATACTTGGAATATAAAAAGTTTTCCAATGCAGGACACAGCAACACCACTTCGAGATCTGATTCCTTCAACACGGGCAAATAATGCCATCAGCTGTTAATGATGATAATAAGTTAGTCAAGATATCTGTGATAACCTTTCTCCCTTACCTATAATTCTTATTACAATTTAAAATCTATCGGTACTAAAACTGGTGCCAGCTATTAATCCAGCAAATTTGTATATGATTTTTTCAGGCTGTCGTGCATCATCAACTTTGCTAAATTACAATTCAATTTTTACATAGGACGAATAAACAGTTATTTAGCTTTTCAATGATACCTTTTTAAAATCGTAACGATGAGAAATGGCCACATACTCGTCAAATAAAAATTGCCGGTCGAAATCACATTCTTCAACCGTTGGGAATTGAAAATACATATTAACTGTTATGCAAAGTTAATCAATCCAAAAGTGACGCGAGTCTGCTGCAAGCTATTTGTTTCGTACTGAAAATTTTTTATTACGAATGTTCTCTGTTCAGTGGTTAATTGAACCATGTTTCATTAAATTCTCTCACTAAGACGAAGAATGACGAGTTGACCAATTGAGCTCATTTTAGTCTTAGATTATTTTCATTCAATTTCAATTCCCTCTTGGGAATTGTCTATGTTTCGTTTTCCATGCAATTCCCAACGGTGGAAGAATGTGATTTTGACCATGATAATGATTATCATTCACCTGATGAGTGTGGCAAGCTTATAGTTTGCCATACGAAACAAATTTGTCGTGAATAAATGTTTTAAACGAAGTAACTCAAGTTTGTCTTTTATTTGCTCTACTTTCGTATCGAGCACTCTATTCGCATGATTCGACACTCAATATACTTATTGACATTCGCCTATATATATATATATATATATATATATATATATATATATATATATATATATATATATATATATATATATATATATATATATATATATATATATATATATATATATATATATATATATATATATATATATATTTAAAATACTCATTAATAATTCATAAACCTTGTGGCAAATCATGTCAGCCATAATATATGTATATATATATATATATATATATATATATATATATATATATATATATATATATATATATATATATATATATATATATATATATATATAATTTAAAACCGCGGACTCACAGCTGGAAGAACAACAAAGAAAATCTCCAAAACAATCGTTGCCAGGAACCCTTGAATAAATCCTTTGACAGCATCTGGAAGATTGTTTACTAAAAAAAAATTAAACATTGGGAAATTGTGCACGGAAAATTGAAATGAATTTTCAAACATGAACCTTTATTTTAATGTAAAATGAGTATGTGAAACACGTCGTTGTTCATGTATGTAAATTTTCAATCATATAACTAGGGAATGCATGTTGTTAATCAAACAAAATTAACAAATCAAACAAATTATCTATCGATTATCTATCTATAATATAACGAGTATCTATTTATAACGAGTTTCTAGCATTTAAAATGATTTGCCTGTCCATGCACCAACCACACAATTAACATGAATGCATGGCGTAGTTGGTTTAATAAGTGTACATTGGTAATTGGTATTGTTGATCTGATTGAAATTTGAAAGACATATACTTGATTAATTATAAAATACCTATATAATATTTATACAGAAACTGAGTATAGTTACCTCCTTCAAAAAAGGAAAACTGTTTTTGCAATGCCTGTAGTGAGATCATTGATGAAACGAGAACAACAGGAATAGTCCAAAAGAATACGAGAAGGAATAAACAAATGGAAACGATGACGTAACGAATTGTCCTAAAATAAATTGCAATAAACAATAGCCAGTCCCTTTTCACAGTGCACATGATACATGTACATATCAGCACTTAAATCTTTTAACTGGTCAGCCTTACCAGGTGCTCTTGCATTAAAGTGCCAGGAACATCATGCAGAGCCAGTGGATGGGGCACAATCTCATGCATGCAGGTAGCCCATATATACCATACGTATACGTAAAAATGGTATATACGTATATGCTGGTATATTCAAGTGTAATATAATATAGTTACATTGTCGTGGGTTCTGTCTAAAGCCTGCACGAAAAGAATGAAAGGCCTCTTAACAATGTCTTCAGTCCAAGAACTTCAAACGGTTTTAATTAAAATATTTCTTCAGACAGTTCAAACACAACCTATGGTTTCTTATTGCGGATTTTTATCCACCCCCACGTTCCAATGTATACGTACATACAGCAGGAATGCCGCTTACATACCTGTAATGTTTAGCTAAACCAATATTTTCCCAGATGATATCTGTTGAAGCTGGAGCCCGAGATACAAATGATGTTATAGGAGAATTATTCCAACTGGTTTGTAAGCCAATGGCGGCATCTTGAAGTGATTTGAATGTTACTATGGCCGTTGGAAGATAGGGATGAGATTGGTTTTGTTCAGATGTCATTTCATCATGAAAATGCTAAAAGGGGATAAAAGTTACGAATACTTTTTTCCAGTAATATTTCAACAGCTTCGTACTTTATATTGAAGATTTATAGATTCACAATGGTGATCATATATAAATCCTTAATCTCATGTTTTATTGCTCTCCGCACGTTTACATGCATGCATAAATTTCTCTCATCCCACGCCTTCCTGAAATCCCGAATCTCGCTGTGTTTCCTGTTACCAAAATAAACGTTATCCTGGGAATTGGATATTTCTTGGATATATGGTCTGCATGCTTAATTATATAAAGTTTGGTTTGGATATATGGTCTGCTTAATTATATAAAGTAATACCATAGTTGCCTCGAAATCCTTTGTCTCGCGAGGTACGATTAATCACTAATTTACCTCATTACTAAAACATGGAGTAAAATTAGAACTAATTTTTCCCGTGGTAAAATTAGTTCTAATTTTCCCCTGCATGCTTGATGAGGGAAATTTAGAAGACAAAAGCGTACCACCTCATTACCTCTGATTGGAGAGCTGTACCTCATCGAAAATCATCGGCACAACTATGGACAGTATCTGACGACATCGTCCCGTACACATTCGAACAATCACACTAATCTTGAACATTACAATTGTGGGAGAAAATTATGTTTATGCGCATGCCTAAAACGCCAATGGACACGGAGATATGTTTCTGCGCGTGCGTATATATGAAAAGTGTTCGTACCACAATCATGAGACAATCAAACAGCATTCAAAACGGCAACACACCACGCGCGGATTCCCTCGGCAACTATGGTATTACAACGTAATAGCATGGCATTACGGTCGATTAGTGATGAAATGTCCCTCAAGCCTCGAGAGGTTTAGTAAAAGACCCTCGGCGCGACGCGCCTGGGGACTTTTACTAAACCTGTCTCGCCTTTCGGGTACATTTAATCACTATATAATCGCCCTGAATGCCATGCTATTATTTATAATAAGTGCCTGCTTAATAGGGGGTTGTAAAAATAATGTTATTGGGACCAGCGGTTTGTGTCCGCTTTCTCGGTGGAACATGAATGATCTGAATTAGTTTAATGAAATTAATTTCTTTTCAGCGTGTATATTTTCCCCATCAAGAAAAAAGAAATTTATCGAAATAAAAATAAAACCCTCTCATATGCAGTTTAGGTTTTGGTACCATACATGATGACAGTTTACGAGAATAGTATATTGGCGTAGAATAGTAATAATATTGGTAACGTTCCTCTACACACGTAAAAATCTCAAATCTTGTAGCAAGTCTGCCGACAAGCTGTCAACAAGTTGTGTTCGCACTGTCTGTTCAAAGTTGTCAACAAGTTTGGAACAAACTCTTAACAACTTGTAACAAGCTTGATGGCATTATCAGATTTGTTGCAAGATTGTTCTAACAAGTCAGTCATGATATAACAATATTGTTACAACCTTGTATTGTCAACCTTGTGACATTCTTGCTATATCATAACTGTATATTCCAAACTTGTTACAACAACTGGGAACAAGCAGTGCGAACACAAGTTGTCGACAGCTTGTGAACAGATTTGGAACAACTTGTTTGCAGCTCTGTAACAACTTGTGTGTTTTTACGTGTGTACATGGCGCATATATCCACCATATCTATTTGCATTGAGTATAACTTACAGTGTTATCGTACGTTTTACCTTTAATCTGTCTTCGTAAAATGTAATTGAATCATATTTGGTGCCAATGATAATGAACTTTTTGTGACATGGTCTTTTTCCGTTTTGCTGAAACAAAGCCTATAAGAAATAAAATAATGATCAGAGTTCAAATAATAATTGTGTCATTAAAAAATTAATTTATGAAATATGGCCTGGCAATCATTACACTAGCAGTTTACCTCAGCATGTTCATATTTCCGAACCATATCATCGTGAGCTTCACTTAAATCAGTCCAACTTGGCACAGCTTTAAATACGTGAACTGAAATAACCTAGACACAATGTAAATGATTCATTATTCATGTTTTTACTCTTACTATCTTTGACTTGACCACCTATGATCTACCTGGAAATTCGACGTTTCAAGCACGAACTTCGTCATCCAGGAAAGAATTCGAAATGTACGTTCAAAGGTATAGTAGAGAATACGTCTTCCGCTTTTCGCTCAACATGAACGTCGAAAAGTTTCAATCTTTCATAGTGTATATTATTTACGGTTAAACTGTTTGGAGTCCCAGGTTAGAAATTGATTGATTGTGATGTTACTCTGAGTGTATATCCACACCGGGCAAGCTTGAAAAATATGCCTGACCACGGTGGGAATCGAACCTACAACCTTTGGAATACTAGCCCAATGCTCTGCCAACTGAGCTACGCGGTCAGGTCGGTTTGAGTATGTGATATTTCGGAGTCTAGTTCCTTCAATATCAATGCAATCTAGTAATCATGATTGACAGGCATATTTTCAATCTTTCAATCTAGTAATCACCGCGTGGACAGGCATATTTTTCAAGCTTGCCCGGTGTGGATATACACTCAGAGTAACATCACAAACAATCATATTCACCTGAGTACACAACACCAACACAGAAAATATCATACAGGATACACAGGGACGTCGCTACAGGGGGGTGGTAGCACCCCCCCCCCCAATAATTCAAATAGTTGGTCAAAATGGAAAATATTTTGTTAAACTTGGTCAAAGTTGCAGGTCAAACAATTACATGGCAAAAGTTTGTCAGAGTTTGAGAACAAAGTTAGTAAAATTTGGAAGTTATGAAATCGTTAGTAAACAATTTATAATATTTGGTTATGTTCGTCCGGAAAAAATTTTCCAGCTTTGTTAATGTTAGTCCGGAAAAAAATTCCAGCTTTACTTAGTTGGTCCGGAAAAATGTTTTTGAGCAACCTCCCCCCCTGTCAACAAAATTTTTTTTGGATTTTTTAGGATTTGGTCAAAATTGTATTGGAAAAGTTGGTCAAAACAAGACGACAGCCCCCCAATGTTGATGTCTTCGCGACGTCCCTAGATACAATTTCACCTGCTGGTAGTACAAATAAAATTTTCACTTACGTATATTCATAGCACTTACCTTTTCTGGAAAAACACTTTTCAAAAACTCATCAAGGTTATGGTCATTTCGAAGCTAAAATGAAGTGTCAAAATTGTTGTTATGTATAAAATTTCTGTAATTTTCATGTAACATTTTTGAAATGCAATTTTCATGTGACATTTCTTAATGGGACAATATTTAGAAGCTCCACTGCAAAAACGCATTAACAACAACTCCATGCACACATATCAGCTATTGTGGTACTTGGGTACTTGAGACAATGTTATAAATATATCATCTACCGCACAGTTATATACTAGATAACGAGTCAATCCGACTTATGTCGACCACCGACATGCTTGTAGCTAAACCAATCTATATATCGGGCCTTATCAGGTTGGCTATGCATATGGCTCGTCTGTTTTTCAAAACATGCAATATCGCCACTTGTGAACGTTGTCATGTCCCTTTTAGCCTGCGAACAGGCTCTCAAGCTGAATTGAGAGCCTGCATCGATGACTAATGAATTTGAATATCTGCGTCTCAAATCGTGACGCGAAATTCTCATTGGTCAGCCGCTATAATTTATATGTTTCCGCTGAGCTCTATATATGTCAACTGAAGCACTATGCATAAAAAACATATTAACTGATCAAATTGGTCTTGGCCATCTTTAATACCTCAAAGCACGAAATGTTCTGTTTTGAGAAAACAGTATTTAAAACATTTAAACTTTTGCTTGAATATCTTATATTTCGAAAAACAGTATAAACTGTACGGTCTAAACTTAGTTTGCACAGTCTAAATTTAGTTTGCACGAAAGTTGTAAACAACACCATATAAGGATAGACACTCCATATTTGGAAAAACGAACGTTACGGGGCAGATATTCAAATTCATTAGTCATCGATGCAGGCTCTCAGTTCAGCTTGAGAGCCTGTTCGCAGGCTATGTCCCTTTTGGAATTTCCTTATTAGTCTAGGACCTGTGTATGAGTTTGTATGCGTTTCATTTAGCACAGGTAATCTCAACTGTTTTAGGGTAAAATGACCATATGTGCCAAAACCTGAATCCGGGACGAAAAGTCCTGAAAATGACCCGCCCTGAAACGGCAGTGTCGACATAGCTCTAACTTCCGAAAACAAAAAGCGATAGTCTTTCTGAAGTGCTTATATAGTGTTTAGAAGGGTTGCTTTTAGGGGTGGTCATTGGAAGGAAAAATTTGTCTAAGTATAATATTTTACAAGAAAATGACCATGCACCACCCCAGGTAAATTGCTAATTATGCATAAAATAACTAATATGCCTGGCAGAAATTTAATGTTCTTATTTCCTAAAGAAATTATCATGGGATGAAAAACTATGCTTAATTTAATATAATTATTGTAGTTTTCATAAGGATTGTCATTGTTTTCTTTAAATATAATACATTTTAATTCACTCACCCCCATGAAAACACCATTTCAGCCATACTTTGCCGTTTTGTTTGCTTTTTATCGCCGAGTCTCGCAGATATCATCCAGTTGTTGTACTTTTACATAATGATAGATGGCTAAAGACGATTTCGACGAAGTTTAATGAAGTTTTGAAACAGTGCAGTATATTTTATCTTCGATATTGTGTCCTTCGATATTTCGTCAAATTGCCGCCATTTTAATGGCTCGCCGCTTCTCAGCCCGATAAATGCCACTTCTTTGTCTTCCTATGTGTTTAGACTACAGTATCCAAGAGTACTTCTTTGTAGAATAGTCCCAATCGAAAAAATGAAAACATTTGTTGGGTTTTGATGCCAAAACCCTCCAGGTGATTATTTAGGTTCAATATAGAATACAAAGCATTTGAAAGTCACGCGCAATCTTCGGAAAAATTCTCGTGGACACATGACAGGGGGGGGGGAGGTAATTATTTTCACGAAACGTTTGTTCGCCACCACAGAAACCTAAAATATATTGTATTTATTGTATTTTTATGAATTATGATAAAACTACCCAAATATTTATTGTTTTTTTATCATAATTCATAAAAATACAATAAATACAATATATTTTAGGTTTCTGTGGTAGCGAACAAACGTTTCGTAAAAATATTTACCCCCCGTCATGTGTCCACGAGAAGTTTTCGCGAAGATTGCGCGTGACTTTCAAATACTTTGTATTTTATTTTGAACCAAAATAATCACCTGGAGGGTTTTGCCTTCAAAACCCAACAAATGTTTTCATTTTTTCGATTGGGATTATTCTACAACGAAGTACTTTTGGATACTGTAGTCTAAACACATAGGAAGACAAAGAAGTGGCATTTATCGGGCGGAGAAGCGGGAAGATGTTATTTCGCTGGCCTCAAAGTGACAAAACGTAACCAAGCAACTGGATTACTAACACTAGCCCTATTCCAAACACCAACTCTAACCCTATTCCTAACCTAACCGTACTCCAAGTTTGTTTCTAAACCAATCTTGAAGAAAAAAGTTTTGACGAAATGTCATTCTGAGTTCAGCGAAATAGTATTTTCCGGAGAAGCGGCGAGCCATTAAAATGGCGGCAATCTGACGAAATATCGAAGGACACAATATCGAATATAAAATGTACTGCACTGTTTCAAAACTTTATTAAACTTCGTCGAAATCGTCTTTAGCCATCTATCATTATGTAAAAGTACAACAACTGGATGATATCAGCGAGACTCGGCGATAAAAAGCAAACAAGACGGCAGAGTATGGCTGAAATGGTGTTTTCGTGGGGGGTGAGTGAATTAAAATGTATTATATTTAAAGAAAACAATGACAATCCTTATGAAAACTACAATAATTATATTAAATTAAACTTAGTTTTTCATCCCATGATAATTTTCTTTAGGAAATAAGAACATTAAATTTCTGCCAGGCATAGTAGTTATTTTGTGCATAATCAGCAATTTACCTGGGGTGGTGCAAAGTCATTTTCTGGTAAAATATTATACTTAGACAAATTTTTCCTTCCAATGACCACCCCTAAAAGCAATCCTTCTAAACACTATAAGCACTTCAGAAAGGCTGTCGCTTTTGCTTTTCAGAAGTTAGAGCTATGTCGGCACTGCCGTTTCAGGGCGGGGTCATTTTCCGGACTTTCGCCCCGGATTCAGGTTTTGGCACATATGCCATGTTGACCGCCATGGTCATTTTACCCTAAAACAGTTGAGATTACCTGTGCCAAATGAAACGCATACAAACATCTATACAGTTCCTAGACTGGTGGGAATCAAAACCGCGACTTTAATTGTAGTTAATTTAAATTCGTATTGTCTTAGTACAATATGCTCTACCAGCTTAGTCCGCGTGCAGGCCCAAGGAAAGAATAGTGGGCCTGCAAGCAAGACCCAATATTTTGTAAAACGCCCCTTTTCATAACACGCCCCATTCGCGCGTCAATTGTCAAAAAAGAACCAATGATAGCAACCCAAATATTAACAACTTGCATTAAAATGTTGCGGGGTTTTCTCTGCTTATTCAGAACACAAACAATGTGTAAATGGCTGTGTTTCACCTCCAAAAAAGCAAGCAATGCAGTCAGTAATTGTCAAATTTGCAAGTGCTCATTTTCAACTAAAATCGGAACAGGCAAATTAGGACGAATTTCAACAGAAAACCAGTCTCAAACTTCAAATCGTGAGGGAAGTCGTGCGACCACATTAGCATTAATGTGTGCTTCGCTGTCGCCATTGTTATAAATAAATTGTCTCACTTATCAGATCGTGTGTGCAATTCTTGTTGGCGGCGGAAAGTACGAAATTTATTTCGGTTATTTCATTTGGTAAGGAACTCTACAAAAGAAGGGAGCATATCATATCATTGCAAATCGCAAAGTGTTTCGAATAGGCTTACATGCAACTGCCTCTACATCTTCACCGCGAAAAGCGCTGTTTTCTATGGGGCGCCGAACTAGTCAATATTACAATTGAATATATTTGGTACGTTCGAGTTTATGTTTGGCCAACATCTTTTTTCTTTTTGCCATTTTCTGTCTTTCTCTGGGGTTTTTTATTTTTTATAAGGCCTATTCAAGTTTTTGTAACCTCACCTACTTTCTATATGCTCAACGCGACTTTTTATATGGTCAAGGTTTTCTTATATGGTCAATGACTTTTTATATGGTCAACGACTTTTTGTATGGTCAACGACTTTTTATATGATCAACGACTTTTTATGTGCTCAATGACTTTTTATATGCTCATTGACTTTTTATATGCTCAATGACTTTTCAATCAACGAATGCTCAATCAATTGCTTCAAACAGCAGTGCAAGTAATTCAAACATGTCGACTACTTCTGGTGGAAATATCTCGACATTTTCAGCTGAGCTCGGACATAGATTTCCCACATTTAATGCTTGTATTAATAAAACACGAGGCAGAGAAAGTCACAATTCTTCTAGTCGCAGTTCTGTTATAAAGAACTCCAAAAAGCGGAAGCCCAACAATATAAACACTCAAGATGCATCGGGTTGATCTGAGACAAAGATTGGGCGACCTTCGAAGTCTGTTATTCACAAAGACTTAGTTATTATACCGAATCCTGACACCAAACAAGTGCCAAGTCACTCCAACAAAGTCAAGCTGGAAGAAAGAGAGTTGATCATTCACGAATTCCCTTTCAACAAAGGATGGAGTCCTCTAGAACTCCGAGAAAACATTGAAAAACAGCTATCGAAAAACGTTTTTTTTGAGTTCATGAAGGTAAATATGAAATATAATTAATTAAATTAATTTAATATTGTTTAAATATAACTTTATACTAAAATTTACTTATTTCAGGCTAGTCGTAGTAAACCTCGAATTATCAAGTGTTACAGTTTTAAATAGCTTTATTTTCTTAACAACTTCAACATATTAAAGAAACATTTGTTTTACAAACAATACCCGGAAAGCATGCTTTTTCCAGGAAAAAAACCACGAATCGCGCGGGGCTATCACGCGTCCGTATTTTAATAACATATCTAATCTATTCTCGACAATTTGTTAAGCCCCATGAACTTTGCACTATCCTGGCATAGTGCATAACATGGACTGGACTGGAACAGTGACTCGGTGTTTTCACTCCGCAAAAAATAATTTCCTTCCCCATAACCTGAAATTTCCTTTTCACAAAATTTCCTTCCAAAAATCTCTAAATATCCTTCCATTTCCCTTCCAAATTATTATCAAAATTGACTGATTTACCTTGGTAATTAACACCTAAACTCTAGCATTAAAACAAATTTTGCAGGTTAAAATCAGCTCATTTTTGTCTCAGGCAGACAAAAAGCATAATATTTCGGGGCTACCTTGCCGTGGGTGTGAAGAAGAGGTTCCATAACTGTTTCTTGCATCTCTCCCCATTAATACAAATCTCAATTCATTAATACACTGATATAGATATGTACACTACATGCATATGTCAGGTTGTTGACTTTGGCAAAAAGTAAAATACACTGTGTCCCCAACATATAGTCCTGAAACAATGATCTGATGCAGTACACGCCTGTACGCTATATTGTTTGTTTGCAATCGACGCCATATCTTGGTTAATTTTTCAAAACACATTAGGAAACCATAAACAATAATTTCTATTTCATTTGCCTCTACTTTGAACAATCCTTCCCATTGTGAAATTGGCATTTTGAACAATTCATAATATTATCTATAATTCTTTCCTTCAATGATGAATTCAACAGTGTCGTGAAATAATAGCTTTCTGCATTTGCTTTTTTGAATTCACATTTAGATATAAAAAAGTGCTAAAAGTAAAAAAAGTTTTTTTCTCCTCACATATTAGTAGATGTATGTATGTATGTATGTATGTATGTATGTATGTATGTATGTATGTATGTATGTATGTATGTATGTATGTATGTATGTATGTATGTATGTATGTATGTATGTATGTAGAGTTTTTGCAAGACATGGTGGATGTCCGGGGGAGGGGGGTTCTCTAGTTCGGACATTAGCGACCTTAAGCAAGTAAGACGGGGGTGCAAGAAAACCTGTTGTTTATCATCTATCGTATGAAAATAATACAGTTTTAGGATCAAAATTAACACTGGGTTTATGATTGAGAAAAGTTCTAGGACCCAATGTAAAATAGCAGTTGTCCCAGCTTGAAATGTAAGCTACTAAGCGTTGTATACAAAACGTGATGATCTGTATTTCGCCGTTGTAAAGCAGTGCTACAGTGTACAGCGACGTCTAAAATGTCCGTAAGATTTCAATTATTAATTTCCGCTCATTTTCTTGCATTATTAAATGTGATATTATTAGCTGTTCTCGTTGGACACTCCTTCTGCTTTGTTGAAGTTCTTAACAACGGTAGTTCTTTATATTATTAATTATAAAAGTGTAAAATTTAAAGCGGTTTCTTGACACATACTACACATCCCCGTACTAGATTAAGATTTGCTTTACGTTCGCTAATGCCGGGGGAGTCTGAATATTCATAATTTAACCGGACATCCTTTGTGAATGGCCCCTGAGCTGTTTAACCAGAAAATATTAAATAAACTCAACTACCTCACTTTGACGGCTAAAGTAAACTTTAAAATCAACCAAGGTGGCGCCCAATGACGCGTTGTGACGTCGTGTACAAGCAGGGCGCTACAAAACACAGTGTTTTTTATAGCGCCCTGGTACAAGCGAAGAATTGCGTGCCTTGTCAATTATTTTTTAAAATAAATTTTTAATTAAGTTATTTAATTTTTTTTAATGCAGTACTTGTAAATATTTTAATTTTCAGTGGCCTGTCTAAAACGCATGATTAGATTATTGCATTGTGCAATAATAGTATCAATATTCTTTACATTGTGTAGGCTTGTTATGGAACACTTGTTGTCCCAAAACTTGCAGAAGGTGTTAGAATGAATGGTGAAAGAATACTAAAATTCTCAGGCCAAGGAAGTGTGTATATACGATGTTTGGAACCCCTTGAAGAGGAAGATGATGAAGATCAGGAACTTTTACAGCCAGTTTTTTCTGATGACGATACATAGGAAAGCCAAATGACTGCCTATATTTCATCTTCTCCTGATGAAGTGACACAGCCTGCTTCAACGTCACAAAATGTTACATACAGCATTTCTGAAGAATTGCCTGTGTTTAATAATGAAGAGGAAATACCTGTATTTGAAGATGAAGAAATATCAGCAACATATTTGGAAGAACAATTTATTGCTAGTATTGATGTTGTAGATAGCAATAATAGCTCAACGCCTACATGTAGTTCCAATGCAACAACAAATCATCAGGATGTGCCCATAAGGATCATTAAGGTGCACAGGTCTCTTACTAGGGAAGATATGCTTCAGATTTTTTCTGATCCATCAATATTAAATGCTAGTTTGCATGCAGTAATTATTAATCAACTTGGTCATCAGGAAGTTGGAGAAGGCACAGGGGTCTTAAGGGAAGTATTTTCTTTGTTTTGGAAAGAGTCCTATGAGTCGTATATGTTGGGTGAGAGTGAGAGAGTTCCCTATATAAGGCACGATTTTAACAGGGCAAAATGGGAAGATGTTGGGAGAATACTTGTGAAAGGGTACAGTGAGTGTCTTTATTTTCCCTATCGGTTAAGCAAAGTTTTTCTTATTGCATGTCTTTTTGGCGAAAGTAATGTGACCAGCCAAATGCTGCTGGATTCATTTAAGCATTACTTGTCTCATTCTGAAGCTAGTATAGCAGATGCATGTTTGAATAATAGCATTCAATGTGAAGATGATGAGTTACTTGAGTTTTTGTCAGCATTCGATTGCAAGCGAAGAATTACAGAAAATAGTCTTATAGACATAGTAACGTGGTTGCCCATAAAGAAATAATACAGAAACCCCAGTATGTAGCTGATTGTTGGGGATTGATTGTATCTGACCTTAAAAAGCATTTTCCAGATGTTTGCTCAGTTAACAGATTATATGAGTCCATTGTGCCAACTAATGCTAAAGTTATTTCCATGCTTCAAGCAAGTCCAGTAACCCCAGCCGAGGGGGAAACCTTAGCCCACATGAAGAGGTTTATTAGAGGTTTAGATGAGGGAAAGCTTGCTACATTCTTAAGATTTACTACTGCGTCTGATATGCTTCTCACTGATACTTTGAAAATAGTTTTTACCAGTTACGAGGGCCTTCAGAGAAGACCAGTTGCTCATACATGTGGCTTTACCCTTGAAGTACCAAGCACATATTCAAACTTTTGTGAGTTAAGAGAGGAGTTTATGGGAATTTTGAGTGCAGATGGGTGGGAAATGAATATAGTTTAAAGAACTTGTAAAGCCAGCTTGTAGTTTTTGTCCATTTAGAAAGTTAGCTGCTATGCCGTTGAGTTTGTACTTTATAATCACAGCTTAATATTTGTGCAATTGTTGTACTTCTGTAGTTATTTGACGTAGCTCTTTTTTAAGAATTAAGGACAAAAAACATGCAGATATGTTAACGTTAACGTACTTAAAAGAAACATTTAGTTTAAAAGGTTAAGTTTTTACATTAATTTTATACATGTACAATAATGTAAGCTGTTGTGTTGATAATAAAGTTCATGAGGTTTTGTTTTCTCCATTTCTCCATGATCATTCCTTTGATTGGCAGGGCAATTCTAACTCTGTGTGTTCTTTTAATGCATACGCAGCCAAATTTCACTCGGTTTGTATGGTTGCAATGTATAAAGAGCACTTAAAATTACCGAATAACTTCTTATGTAAACTTTGTTGAGATACTTCCGATCGAGTGTGATACGCAAACATCGTACTTGTGACTTCACTCTGCAAAATGAATTTTAGAAAAGTGTGAAGAGATCTTATACAAAGTCAAAACCTTAAAATTGCCCAAGTATATATACTGTAAGTCTGTGTGAATACATCACTATAGTCATTAATCTTTCTATTTGTCTGTAGAAAAAAATTGTCAAGTTAAAGTGATGCTGTTTTAAAACGTCTTTAGACATGAAATGAGATGTCACAAGGCAGATTTAGAAAACAGAACGCGACGTAAAAATGGCGTGTGAATGGCGTGATGTCCCATCTATGGATGTGCCACACCATTTTCACGTCGTCTTTGGCGTCGCGTCGTGTTTCCTAAATCTGTCTATTTGCATGTTACCTGGTCATGTATTTATAAAAGAAACCGGGGTGAAATTTCACTGCATAGGTATTGTACGGCTACAATTTAAATCATAGAATTTAAAATTGCAAGACACTGAAGATACGTATTTTGACCATTTGTACCATCTTCTTGCAAAGGGTTGCATTGGTTTGCCAAATTTGTCATCTGTTCACTAGAAATTTGGATGTTTGTTTCTGGAACTACAACTTGATAGTCATCGTCCTCCACAGATAATGGACCAGACGGATCAAACCCATAATTGGGCGTATATCCAGCATCTAAGATACTTTGAACCCAAGAAAAACCTGACTGTTGATTTTGAATTACACCAGACTTAATGTCCTCACCGTTTAATAAATATATATATATTGAGATATTTAATATAACGACACGCATAAGAACACAAGGTTTGTGGGGTTATGGAAGTATGGGACAACTGCTCTATATACTGTATTTTTTATCTGCGAAGAGCTGGGTGCTGAGCGGTTCCCAGGGCATATACTCGTATTGAAAAGCTGGATCTTGGGGAAAGTCGATTAGGACATATACTGCTTTGCAGCTGGGTCCTAATCTGCCCAAGACATATACTTTTACGGATTTAGAGCTGGGTCCTGAGTCGGCTAGAACATATACTCCATTTAGAGCTGGATCCTAGCCTGCCCTGCAAGACATATACTCTGAGCTGGGCCCTGGGAAAAAATGATCAGGGAAATATTTCTTAGAACACTGATCTGGCTCAGCACATATACTCATATGAAGAAATAGAGTGATTTTTGTAAATGGGAATTGGCTGTATGCCAGGTTGCCAAATTCCGTAAAGAAAACGTGAGGTCTATGGTAAAATTGCGACCTCATACTAGAGCAATTGCCTCAAACACTTCATTCTTTATTTATTATTTTATTAAATACATAATAACATTGATATAACAGTCTAGTGAATGTCGATAAGCCTTTAATATCCAACGAAGATAATATTTATATATAGATCTAAATATAGTTCAATGTTCCCGAGAATTCAATATCACTCCCTAGGCGGGCCCATAACATACCGTAATTACTTCCAAGTATCATCTTGTACCATCTCGTTACATCAGGGAAAAGGCTGGAGCATGGGGTGGTTGGTGGGTGACTTTTTTAAATCAGTCTTTACAGTTCGCAATCCAAGTAAGAATGATATAGGCAGATAAAGCTAACTCGGATATCTGCCCATGTTTAACTATAGTTTCATTGTTGTAGTTATGAATAGGTCAAACATAGTGGTTTGGACAATAATTAATAAACGATACTGGGTGCAGTAGCCTACGGGTTTGGCAAGCAAATAATGAAAGTCTGATGAGTCTTCCTTTGTTTAGACAATAGTAGCTTTCGAGTTGGCTTAACATAGACATTTTAAATCTATAATTTTTAGGTCTAGCGCATTGAGTATCGTCCATTAACAATAATTTGTACTCGTAAAAATTACCATTTAATGTCCTCACCGTTTAATAAATATATATATATTGAGATATTTAATATAAAGACACGCATAAGAACACAAGGTTTGTGGGGTTATGGAAGTATGGGACAACTGCTCTATATACTGTATTTTTATCTGCGAAGAGCTGGGTGCTGAGCGGTTCCCAGGGCATATACTCGTATTGAAAAGCTGGATCTTGGGGAAAGTCTATTAGGACATATACTGATTTGCAGCTGGGTCCTAATCTGCCCAAGACATATACTTTTACGGATTTTGAGCTGGGTCCTGAGTCGGCTAGAACATATACTCCATTTAGAGCTGGATCCTAGCCTGCCCTGCAAGACATATACTCTGAGCTGGGCCCTGGGAAAAAATGATCAGGGAAATATTTCTTAGAACACTGATCTGGCTCAGCACATATACTCATATGCAGAAATAGAGTGATTTTTGTAAATGGGAATTGGCTGTATGCCAGGTTGCCAAATTCCGTAAAGAAAACGTGAGGTCTATGGTAAAATTGCGACCTCATACTAGAGCAATTGCCTCCACAATCACACAACGATAGTGTGTGTGATCCCCATAGACCGACAAACAACGATCGAGTGTTTATCTCACTCTGCAATCAATCGTTTTGAAACGTCTGTAAGGACATTGATTGGCGTGCGAATATATCTGAGGTAACAATCGGAAGACCATCTTCCTAGCGTTTGAATAAGCCAATGAGGCAAACCTTGGGACGCAGCTGTGGTAGCCGCTCCGATTCTAAAGCTGTGGCCTGCATAGTGAGCAGGGTGATGACCACCTTGGGCCAAAAGTGTTCGTAGTTCCTTAGTAAATTGACTACGTGATAAAGGAACACCGTTTGAGTAGCAAAACAATGGTCCCGCATAGTCCGTTGGCGCACGTGAAAGGTAGGTTTGAAGGGCCCTTACTGGACAATACATACCAGAATTGCTGCCAATGGTTATTGTGGCTGAGGCTCGAAACGGATCGGTTTTTGACGCTTTAATTCGTAGTTGCAGAAAAACCTCGTTATCCCCCCGTTTTTTGTTATGAAAACTTACATTTGATCGGCAAAGATTTGTTGAAGAATTATAAGGACCGGAGCAAGTCATTTCACCAATCCGCAAAAACCCGAAAAATGCTATGGAAATCGCTGCCCAAATCATGGTTTCATCATGTGTTGGCGATGTCCGTGAGTGTAATATGCGGTGAAACAATTTCAAATGGTCTAATGTAATTGGTTGGCGTGTTCTTGTAGACACTCCTTTTACTCGCTTTATACCTCGCAAAATATAGTGTAGGCGTTGAGATTTGGTGATTTGAAGGTCGTAGCCGTTAATAGCCTGCGAACAGGCTCACTGGGAGAAAGGTGAGCCTGCACGGAACCATGCGTTTTATTCAATCATCCCCTTTTCGCATCTGCTAAACGCTAACCAATCAGCGTCGACTGCAGCGATAAATAAACTGTCAACTGTCAAATTGACGCAAGGCGTGTACATTGTGCAACATGAACAATAATACAAAACATTAGCCGCACAATATATTACTCGGAAAGGCATAGAATTCAAATATTAAATAGATATCAATACACATACAAATATAAAGCCGAATAAAATACTACCTTTGGCTTTGAATGTACAGTAATACTTGTACTATGTGCGACTGAAAGAACAATGTTCTGAATATTTTGAAGCTATTACTAAAATACGGTCAGATAGATTGGGATTTGGAATACCGAATACGTTTAAAATTTTACTAACTGTGGTCTAAATAAATGATAAATGAGCATGTATTTATTAATTTCTTCGAAATCACGAGTGTGCCAATAGTGGAAGCCGTATCGACGACGAAATTGTCAGCAGTTAATATACAGCAAATAGTACAACGTTTAATGTACGATATATATTTATCTAAATGACATGCCAGCGAGGATCAACAATATAATTATTCGTACATATTTGGGTATCTTTTGTATGCCTTCGCTTGCTGACTTGCTCAATAATGAGAATAATCCGTGAAGCCACGACGACCTCAAAATGTACTATACTATAGTCTGATGTCAATCCGAAGACGAAGTTCAGAATACTGTTATAGTTTCGTATATTGGATTTAAGCGATAGATTCAAGTCATTTATGATAGACTTTTTTGCTGTGATGCTTTGCTATTGCTTTTGGTTTCCATTTCTAGTTTTATTTGTTCGATAGTCTTATAATATATCATATTAAAATGAATAAAGTTCAAATTCTTCAAAATGCTGTTGTTGACATTTGCTATTTTTAGTAATTTTGTCAACGAGTGTAAGCCAATCAGAAGCCTGCGTTTCTATACGAACGCCACTACCAAGAAAACCTATCATCCGTGCAGGCCCTCTATTCTTTGCGCCGCCCGCAACCCAGGGCCTGTTCGCAGGCTAAGCCGTTAACCAAATGCATATGGCGTACTGCTGCGAGATAGACTTTGATGGTGTCTGGATTTACCGTCTTAGCGAGAAAAACAGCAAAGTAAATCAGAATGTTTTCCGTTGTTGGCAGAAGAGGCACATACTTATGTAAATGGAATTGATAGTAGAAATTCGTGAACTGTTTTTCGCCACTGCTATAAGTTTTAATCGTACCTTTAGCTAACGAAGCAAGTTGATAACGACGTAAGTCAGCGTCTAGAAACGAGAAAGTTCCTCTGGTAGAGGTTGAGGTTGATGGTCTGCATGCGGTGCTAGCCGCCGAAATCTGGTTTGCTGAAAACGGGCGATAGAATCAGCAATGTCATTATAATGACCAGGCACATGTAAGGCTTTGAAATAAAAGTTATATTTCAGTGTTTGTAAGGTTAAAGGACGCACTAAGTCCATAATACGAGGGCTTTTTGAACGTTTGGAATTGATTATGGAAACCCCTGCCTGGTTATCGCAGTAAAACACAATTCGTTTTTGAGCCCATAAAGGTGCCCATATGTAGGAGGCTACCACAATAGCATAGAGCTCTTGCCAATCAATGCTGATATTTTTTGTGGTAAGTGTTTGGTGAGGCAACCATTTACCCTGAAACCACTGGTTGCGAAAAATTTCCCCAAAACCAAGGGTCCCCGAGGCATCCGTATAGAGAGAAAGGTTTGTAGAATTTTCCCAGAAAGAGTTGAGAAATAGACTTGTCCCATTCCAGTCTTTAAGAAAAAGTTGCCACATTTTTACGTCTTCGCGAAAACCATTCGTCAAGCGAATGTGATGATGTGGTTTGGAGACACCCCGTGTTAGATTTATGATACGTTGCAAAAAAGCTCGACCCGGGGCAATTACTTTGCATGCAAAATTTAATGTGCCAATTAGTGATTGGAGCTCTTGGAGTGTAGCTGACTTTTTTGTGTGCCACGAATTTAAATCAACAAATAGACGGTTCAATTTATCGGATGGAAGACGAGCCTCCATCTTTTGTGAGTCAATGATAATGCCTAGAAATTCTATAATGAGACTGGGTCCTTCAGTTTTATGCTCGGCAATAGAAACACCTAACGTGCGGAATGTTAGCAACATGCTAGAAAGGCTAGTTTGGCATGCTTGAGAAGGTAGCCCAGTTTGGGCCGGTGGTTCCATGATGAGAAAATCGTCTAGAATGTGCCCAACATAGCTTATAAAACACTTGTTGAGTAAAATCCATTCAAGTGCATCCGAAAGTGGATTGAAAATATACGGCGCACTACGCAGACCAAATGGCAGCACTTTGTCAAAATAATAGGACTTGTTCCAATATATGCCTAATAACTCCCAGTCGTCAGGATGAACAGGGAATTGACGAAAAGCAGATTCTATGTCAGTTTTAGCTAGATAAGTGCCTCTGCCTAATCGGATTAAAGCCGCAATTGCGTCGTCGATTTTTGTGTACTGCAATGAAAAGTCGTCTTTCTCGATAAAGGAATTGATTGATTCTCCCGTTTTTGGAAACGAGAGGTGAAAAATGGTTCGAAATTTATCTGAATGCTTTTTAGGTACAATGCCAATTGGCGAAACCTGTAAATTAGCAAATGGCGGATTGGTGAAAGGACCAGCTGTGTGGCCAAGAGCAACTTCCTTAGCTAAGTTAGTTGAAACAATAGTTGGATTGTCAATGGCAGACTTGAGGTTTTTCGAAAATTTTGACATGCGAGGACCATCGTAACCGAGACGAGCACCGAAACGCAATATATATATATATATATATATATCGAAAAATGCTAAAATTGCAGCTAGGATTCATATTTATATATTAAAAGATTAAAAGTTTCTTGTCACTAGCTATGTAAAAAACGTAATCACGTTTATAAAAAAGTTTTTACAAGACGTTTCGATCAGAAACCTCCGATCTTCGTCAGTTGATATTAAAAAACTAAGAAGCCAATAAACAGGCCTCTATATATATATATATATATATATATATATATATATATATATATATATATATATATATATATATATATATATATATATATATATATATATATATATATATATATATATATATATATATATATATATATATATATATATATAGTTATTACACGCAACTGTTAATAATATTCTTATAATAAAAAATGAGGAAAAGACAAAGTAAATCACTGCCGTGTCCCGTGGTTTTATATGTGATAGAAAATCATGCTAATTTAAGTAGCTAATTACTTTAGCTTTGAAAAAATTACTTCGACAATGAACCCATCAGATGGGTCGTTTTTTAAGCCATTTAAAACACTCGCAGTCCGTGCTTTATCAGATATGTCAGTCCTACTCGTGTTTCAGTTAAATAGTATACTTAATGTACAGTATGGTTTTCATTTGGCATGGTTTCACAAAGTAAAATTATGGTTTATATTATAAAGCTAATCGATAGGTAGTGACAAATTTAAAACACCAAAAAAAACTGTAGATGATTAGGGATTCAACGATCTGAAAAATACTAACTTCCCGACGAAGGGCCTTCGCTCGAAACGGCGACGTTTTTGTTGTATTTTTCATGTACTGTAGCTATAGTTGAATCCCCACCCATCTACAGTTTGCTAATTCTAGATCGGGTGTAAGATTGCATGCAAAAATCAAGTCATATATTAATATACGTTCATAAATAATTTTTACACTTTTGGAACATCAAACTTTTGCTTCACCGAATAATCGAACACTTGGACCTATACCTATAGAATCTGATGGTAATATGCAATTTACCTGCCATTTTGCTGAATTGATTGCAGCGTCGCTCGATGTCGCATCACCCAAGCACGAAATAACTGCCAATCACCAAAATTCATTTCCATTACGTCTCGTAGCTCCAACATGTCGCATTCGCACAGGACTCGACCATTAATATGATTCTCACGAACAGTCGTCTGATACGAGGGAACCATCGTAAGAGTAATGCCGTCAATCTGCGAGAGCTGAAGAAAAGCGCGTTAAAAGGTCGCATGACTATCAGAATGATGAGCTAAATCGTCTGGCTTTTTTATAGAGCATATTTATACAGAGGCGAGTTACCCAGACTTCCAGATTAGTAAAGTGTTTACAGACTCTCTGTCTGGATCTCGGAAAGGTAAATAACCCTGTTGTGCCATTTAAACAGTTACCCGGGAAACCCATGCAACAGGCGTACATGCAAACAGGCCATTAAATTCTGGAAACAACAAAAAGGGAAACATTAAGTTAAGGAAGTTAAAAAAGACACAGGAAGATGGTTCAGCTAAGCCATTAATGGGTAATAAATAAGTAATGAACTGGAAACAACAAAAAGGGAAACATTAAGTAATTAAGGAAGTTAAAAAAGACACAGGAAGATGGTTCAGCTAAATTACATAAGTAATGAAATTATAAATACTAAAGTTCAATGGGTTATACCATTTTAGGAAGCTTGAAACAATCACTATCCGGTGGATATAGCGCTATACGGCCTTCGTACAACCAAACCCAGATCTTCAAATAGTTAACATCTTTGGACTTCCTTACCATGCATCTATAAAGCGTCGTTTTATAGCTCATTTTGCTCTTTTTTAAGTAGTTGTCATTGGAAAGGTCCATAAATGTGATATTTCTTCGTTGTAAGGAAATATATAGACCACCAGGACACGAAAATACCTTCGGATTCCAAGCAATCATGAATAAATTTTGGGCACCGGTCAAAGATCTCAGTCGTGTATAGATGAGAGCAAATTTGTACATTAACGATCCGACTATGAGATAATATCTGCATAGAAATTCTGATTAAACGAGAGTTAGTCTTCCCACCTTAAAGGTTCCATCTTAATGAACTACCTTAAAGGTTCGGTCACAAGCGGCGACAAGTCAAAGGAGTTGGCCGCGGTGACAAAATCTCACTGTGTGACATGGGTGAAGACATCAGCCCGATTTGATCTGGTCGCGGGCACAAAATTGCCTTCTTGAGACCTGTCCGATCGTGTGAACAGTTCATGCGACATGTCGCTGAGACAAATTAAAATTGACTTGAGTGTTACTGGAAATGTCGCTCCGTGTGACCACAAGTCTCCTGTCAAGTGTTCGCCCGAAAATTTTCGATCGCTCCATGTTACTTTTCTCAGGAGGAGACAAGTCTTCGCGACCAGCGTCTATCACTTCTCGCCTCATGTGACCGAACCAGAATAGTTCCAGATAAGTTTATCTTCGAATATATAACAGTGGTCGAAATAGGAATTTAGTATGAATCCATTTTTACATACCTTAACACAAATGCCTTCCTCGTTTAATCCAGTAAGATCCATAGAATCTAAAGAACCCTGCCAGAATAAAAAAACCCAACAAATGTTACACCGGTGTTCCGTTTTATGAACACCATTAATAAGGTACGTGATTTCCTGACTCGTTGAAATCACAAAACAACAGATAATCTATGTTATTGCTCCGGGTTTATTCGTTTGGTCACGTGCGTATTATATGTTCGCCTAATTAACCAATAGCAATGTTCGAGCTTAGCTGTTCATCCGTGCCTTTAATAATTGCTTTGCTTTGGAAGTACGAAATTTCTGTGCTGAAGAGGAAACATTCTGGGTTCACTATATCGGAAGCGAAATTCGCCGGCTTCTATATTGGGAACCCGGAGTTCTTCTATTTGCGTGCGCAGTTTGTTTTTAATGTTAATCCGTCTCGTCGTTCATGCACGTTTATACACAGACGAATTAAATTATTAGACAAACTATGTTCATGTAGCACTTGTGACGAACCTAGCTGTCACTTTTCTCTGGAAATTGCCTACAAAATATCAAAAACACTTACCTCATTTCCGCCATTGCCAGATATGTCTACCTTGTTCAAGGTGTTATTAGACGGAGCTTGCAGGCCTTGAGATAGTTGATTCCGGATAGCAGGATCCAAATTGACTGTCCCCACTAAAAATTTCCTAACTTCGTCTATTTTCAACACTGGAAAATGATTGCCAAGGTAAGATTCAAAGTACATCGGATCATTATCCAACGCGTACTCATAACCACTTGAGTTAGGTAGCCAGGATTGAGTCGTCGTAAATAATGTCTTCAGAGGGAGATTGTCGGGAAGCACGTTCATAAATTCTTCGATAATCAATACGAGCCACGAAACTCTATAAGGCCAGGCGTCGACCAAACTCACCCAAGATGCTAAAGCGTTCCACTGAAAGTTAAGTCCTTTTGCACGAAGTAATCGTCCACTTAACGACGTAGTGTGCAGTAACCTCTGTATGCCAAGTGGAGTTAATGTCTCATTGTCTGCTAATACATGTGTCAAATCTGGAGTCTCTTCGTTGTGTTTTTCACCAGGGATATCGTTGTAGCTGCGATTTAAACGGCAACCAGAAATGTTACCTTCGTCAATAGTTAACACCGTACTATGTCTGTTAGTGCTCAGAAGACCATTACTCTTGGATTGATCACGAGCAGAACCCGGTGATAATTCCAAACTCTCGCCTTCCCATTCCAACTCAAATCCGCTTGTCTTACGGTGCCGCAATAACTGCTCTACAGATAACCTGAGTGCGTCAGGAAGATTCCCACTAAAATTCGTTTTAGGTTCAGGTAAAAATACCGGAAGGTGAATAATATTCTTCAAGTAGTCCAACGCAGTAATATGAGAATCCTGCAGAACGTTACTGAAGTTTTGTTCTATCGCGCGCACCATTACACGCGGATCTATAGCGATTACGCTAATAAACGGCGCATCCGGATCGGTGAAGAGTAGATTTATTGAATCCACCAAATGCAACACCTTCTGTTGCTCAGAAATTTCAAGGCCATCGAGAAACAAAATTATTCTAGTTTGAATCTTCTTGAAGCTATCCAACGCTAGGACGATTTCGGTGAGCAACTCTACTTCCTGTTTAAGGGCGTGTATAAATCCTTCCTCCTTAAGGCCCAACTGAGTCGCTACAATGGACACGCGTCTTTTTGGAGAGAATAACAACGAGTATATCACAGAACAAAATGTGGTCGCATGAATAATGACTGAAATACCCACCACGCATGCGCCTGATATCTGTAGACCGGCTACAAGAGATCCACTATCAGACCCAATCTCTGTATATAAAACAATTGCGACTGCACCGCATATCACAACAAAGAAAAACATTATTAATTTCGGTATGCAACAGCAACATTTCTTAAACTGTGGATCTGAATGCTTCAGGCCAACATACTCCACTAAAGGAGGTCGTAATACACGGTACAGCCGTGAAGCAATACAGCCGAAGTTTCCTTCAATCACCTCGTTAAGCGTCTCCACCATACTAACAAGTGCAGTTGCTTCACTGCTACTTCGTGTAAGCTTACTGAAATCTGCGAAGGTGTAATGTACGGGCAGCGACGAGCGTAAGTACGTGACAGTTGGCGGCGCGCAGAAGACAACGAGATACAGCAAATACAAATAATTGGAAAAACTGCAAAAATATTGGTTGACCCACGAGGGCTCCGTCTTATGGTAAAGCCGATTGTCCCACAGCAACATGAATAAGAATACAAGGTTACTAAAAACAAATGCAGCACATCCAACAGCGATACCAACGATCCAGTTAAATATGGCACAGAAACCAATACCAATCAGTGTGCAGAAAAAGAGACAAGATAGGACCCCGAAACACGTGAAATGTAGCTTTGGACGAATCGTCTGTTGTGTTATTTCTTGCATTTCCTCTGTTAAATAGAGAAAGTGAAAATTTGAACTAGTAACCGCGCATAATTTCGTCGAATACGTAATATAAAGATTGACACCTGAGTTGATACAAGTCAATAATGACTTCGTGGTTTTCTGATGATGAATTTCCAACAAAATCGAAACATATAAAAACACAATCCGAAGATTAGCATCTTCAGACCCACGATGTGAGTTATAGATTGTTGAGAATTGTTGTAATATTAATTATAATAACTAGGTTAATGTAATTGCCTAGGTTAATTTCTATAATCAGATGCATGAGTCATAGGCTAATTAAGTAATGGTATCAAATTTAAAGGTAGTGATTGTAGCCTGACTGTTGAGACTGTGAATTTTGAGCACTGATCTGAAATAAGACTGGATAACGCATCTATAGTATACAAAAGTGAAGCCGGAAGTCACCGGCCGCCACCCGATTCTGGGCCCCCACTTTTGTATAGATTTGTATTACAGACGTTAGTTTTTCGCGTTTTTTGCCTTGGCTACGTTTCCGATCGGGCCAATTTTACAATCACAAAGATAGAAGCATACAAGAAGAATTTTGAGCAAAAAATTTGGAGTATTATGGCTTTATAATGCCGCGAAACGGGATTTACAACTCTGAAGGAGTGGAGAGCCTCAGACTTTGTTTATCCACACGAGCTCGTTTTGCTACTTTCATACAAAATCAACTCAAAATATACAGAAATTACTGTTACTGGACGAATATTCTCAGGAAATTTGAAGAAATGAAGCAGCTACATTGTGAACAAAAGCGTATTGAGGTTTAAATAGTTTTAAAATACCTTGAGGCTACTTTTATAATATTTATATGAATTTGTATATAAGGAACAGTTTTAAATATCAAATTTGTCAAGAGCATTCCTCGGCGCCTTGTCGAGAAGTTTTATATGTTTTAAAGTAGGAAGACAAGTGACAATCAAATATTTTTAATTCAAATTAAGCCTGTTCTAAACGTCGCATTTTGCATGCGCTGAATGCATTTAAAACAATGGATAATGAAGCATTTCAGCTGATTATCTAATGTTTTGAAATTTGAATGCATTCGGCACATGTAAAATGCGACGTTTAAGAACAGGCCTTATAAACAATGACTCAATATGTTATTTTAATTTTAATTCATATAATTTGAATATAAAAGTATAGCCTCAAGGTATTTTAAAACTAACCTCTGTACGCTTTCGTTCACAATGTAGCAGCTTCATTTCTTCAAATTTCCTGAGAATATTCGTCCAGTAACAGTAATTCTTGTATATTTTGAGTTGATTTTGTATGAAAGTAGCAAAACGAGCTCGTGTTGATAAACAAAGTCTGAGGCTCTCCACTCCTTCAGAGTTGTAAATCCCGTTTCGCGGCGTTATAAAGCCATAATACTCCAAATTTTTTGCTCAAAATTCTTCTTGTATGCTTCTATTTTTGTGATTGTAAAATTGGCCCGATCGGAAACGTAGTCAAGGCAAAAAACGCGAAAAACTACCGTCTGTAATACAAATCTATACAAAAGTGGGGCCCCATAATCGGGTGACGGCCGGTGACTTCCGGCTTCACTTTTGTATACTATAGATGCGTTACCCAGTCTTATTTCAGATCAGTGATTTAGAGCTGGTGATTTGTGATTTATAAAGTGATTCTATAGAAAAAGCCAAACTATTTTGAGTGTGTTAAGTTGGCTTAGCATTTAGCCTCTAACGGGATTCCCAACAAGGTAAAGTATGAAGTTAAGTAAAGTACTGGGAAAGCAGGTAGGTACGGAACATTACAATACGATAAAGTGCAATGCAGTACAATACCCTTACCTGTAGAGTACGACGCACTGCACAGTACAGCACAGCATATGGCTCTTCGTTTTTTATCCAACGGTATTACGACAGCCATATTAATATCTTTAATTTACATTTTAATAACATTAAATAGGGATTGAAATAAAGTTCATTGACACTTACGTTGAAGTCTTTTGAAGAAGTGAACTTTGCTACTTCCCCATCTTGAATATACACCAACAGTAAGAGGTAGTTCTAGGGATGGTTCACAGAGCAATTCGGCCAGAGATGTTGCATAGACGTTATGACCAAGCAATTCCTCCGTTTGACGCTTGTCATCTTCCGCCATTCCTGTGTAAAACATTACGAACGTGGCTATGAAATCATCACTGCACAACTTTCAATAGACTGAAAATAATTTTTTGTGTCAGGGGCACTTTAACAAAAAGGACTTCACTTGATCTTGATTTCTCCTTGATCTTGAGCCCAATCACATGCAAACCTATCCTTAACTTCATTGTGCAAGAAAAATGAGGCAATAACAACATGAAAACGAGGTCAATGATGCAAGAATGCAATAAACATTGCAGTCTATTCCTTCAGAGAGATTTGTAGATTCAATTATGACGTTAAATGTTGTAATTAACGAACGAAAAAACTGGACCAAAACAAACCAAACAAAAGCATAGAGTAAAAATTCTGTTGTTGATGATCGCTTCTTCATTGACGTTGCCGTTGTATCAGCCAAGCTCACTAATTCGAGTAACGATGGAAAACAATGTAAATTGAATCAAACGATCTGCTGGAACATTCGCCTTCATTCTCTTCTCGTGCAAGTCTCCATACAGTACATCAAATTAAGGGTTTTTCAAAGATTAACTAGTTATTAATAATGACGGGCAAACTTAACATCATCCACACAAAAGCTAATAAAGGAAATTTATACTAAAATTGTTTAAGCATGCGATGACATTCAGCCTCGTCTGCATAGACTCAAAGACTGATATTCAAACGCGTTAAGGGGGAAAAAGATTAATATAGCCTAATCATCCTTCAACGTTTACCCTTTTCTTTGTTTCATCGATTTCCTCATTTTCAATTTTAAGTGATTTTCAAGTACCTATCAAGCACTTTTCACAAACGTTGTAATTTCAAGGGCTTCTCAAGTGCCCTTGAAATCTACTGCATGTTCAATGATTCCTAAATGTCCTACTGGTTGAGCTAGACATAACTCTATTTGGCTTAACTCAATACTCCTGAGTTTTTTAACCCATTGCCTAGTAAATTTCACCAAGACTTCCTGGTTAAATTAACCAGATTATATGTTAGGTATAGATAATGCCTAGGCAATAGGTTAAAATAACCAGAATAAGGCCAAATCAAAAAAACTACTTGGTTAGCGCACACTCTCACAAATTTTCAGAGGCGGGAGGGTGGGTTTTGTTTTTAATTTTTACTCGTTTTTTAATTTTTTAATAGTATTTTTTGGGGGGATGGGGGCAGTTTTTCCACCATATCGGTGATATTTTTTGTACTGATGTTGCGAAGGCCGCCATTTTGCTATAAGAACCTTGTATACCCAAGCCCAAGCGCGAAGGTCTGAGCATGAGAAAAATTTCAAATATTAAACTGTTTTAAGCTGTGAAACGAAGAGATTTACAAAAAAAAAATTCAGAGGCGGCAGAAATCGCGAGGCGGGCGGCATGACGCTAACCAAGTTTTTTTTTTATTTGGCCTAAGTTAAAACAACGTACGTACGAGGAAAATTAATCAGGAAAATTAATCAGGAATAGGCTATTAAGACAACCCAAACAGAGTCACTTCTATGTTTACCAGGAAATTTTAACCAGACTATTTTAGAGTGTATAAGCACTTTTCAAGAGTATCAAAGACATTAAAATATAAAAAAAATATTAAGGCTATACACACTGGCTATACAATTACCTAAAACAGGTCTTAAGATGCTCTTTTTATGTCGCTGATCAATGCGGTAAGGTGTCTCGCTGGCTCTGTTAGTTTGATACAGCAATCGAGCACTTCGTGGGTCTTTGAGGATTATCTCAGTTATGCGACGATATCGACTACGAACAGCGATATGTAATGCGGTGTCTCCCTTCTGCAAGAAAACAACGTGTAATTAGATCAAGTCCAAATACGAAAAATCTCTAAGCCAAACGGGAATGAAATCTCGAAACTCGAAAATTTATGCCGTTTAAAACGGCCTTTGAAAAATAAGCTCACGTCAGCAATAATTGTTTCCACCTTAACTCAGGGAAAAATATTGTATCACGACTCAGAATGTTTGGGGACACTGGTAACTGCAACAATCCGGAAAACATACAATACAGCCAGTTCTGTATAGCTTATAATTAGTAGTTTAAATCAGAGGGAGGAAAAGTATCGGAAACTGGGAACCGATATATTACGCTCTATCTCTACTATATTACGCTCTATCTATATGGTATTGAGCACTGTTTGTGTTTCGTAAACCAAAATCTTAAGCTATATATATATATATATATATATATATATATATATATATATATATATATATATATATATATATATATATATATATATATATATATATATATATATATATATATATAATATTAATGAGACCAAAGATGATCAAATTTACAGTGTAGAAAGAGTGCTCAATACCATTTAATAACGTAGAGCAAATAATTTAATTTCTTAACTTAAAATATAGTCACAACTCTGAGTTTCACGCTCAATGCGATCTTCAGGCGACAATGTTTAAATCTCAATAAAAAAATTCCTGTGTGATTACGTGCGAGTTCGTTAGGCTACTTGCGTGATGTTATTGCGTGCGCACGTTCAAATTTTTCCGCCAAGAATTGTTTCCGATGGCAACACTTCGAGAATAGCTCACATCTCCTGTTCAGCAATCTTTTCTTATCACCTTTCAAAATTTCGAGTTTCTCTTGGAGGCATAGGTTGCAAGTTTTTGCGCCGCTGCGATAAGATGATGCTTGCTTCAGAATGGACCACTTGATGTTGAATGTACGTTTCTTGTTTTTCAAGTTCCAAATGTGTTTGGACAGCTCAGTGGATTTTACATAGCTCGGGTCTTTGAATGATGTCTTGTGGTTGTAATAACGTTTCTCGAACGTGTTTGATGTCATCCCAATATAATCTCGAATTACTCCTGTGTCGTCCGTAACCTCGGCTTTATAAACAACGCTCTTTGTAAGGCAATTATTGTTTAAGGGACATTCAGTGCTTTCTATGCAGTTACAGTTGTCTTTGGTAGATGCTACAACAACACTTTTATTCTTTAAAAGGGTACCAAGGTTATGTTTGGAGATGACGCTTTTACAGTTATCCATGCAACTATAGCTTACTTTGACCAAGTTTCTGTTAAAGATCTTGTGTAGCGGGTTAGACGCAGGGAAATGTTTGTCAATCAGGTTTAAGAAGTTTCTACCAACATTTGTTCTTACATTCTTACTAAAAGGTGGGTTAAACCAAATTATATTTCTCGTTCTCGTTCTATTTTTCTGTTTATTGTTAGGGGAGTAGCTTAAATTTGTTGGGTAATGACTACGGTGGAGTGCGGCTTCATAAAGAGGTGCAGACTTAGAGAAAGCTTCTTGATTCGATGATAACTGGGAAATTCGGTTGCCAACAGAAGATGGTAGATGCTTTGTGATTGAAGGAGGATGGTTTGAATGACTGTCAATGAAAAGTGGTTCATTGTTAGGCTTTCGATAGGGTTGGTAGCTTTCATCATTTAAATTTAAGATAATATCTAGGAAGTTGACAGATTGGTGGGTAATTTCTGTAATTTCTCGCACGTAATCATACAGGAATTTTTATTGAGATTTAAACATTGTCGCCTGAAGATCGCATTGAGCGTGAAACTCAGAGTTGTGACTATATTTTAAGTTAAGAAATTAAATTATATATATATATATATATATATATATATATATATATATATATATATATATATATATATATATATATATATATATATATATATGGGGGGGGGGGGGGGGGGGGTATAGCTACATTTTGCATAAATTTTCAGAGACATTTCTTGATGTATGATATGGATTGAATATCTAAATTACGTACTAACTACCTGATTATTGAACTAAATTACAGCGGTTATGGCTGCACTCCTGCAGTAGGAAATTTGTTCTTAATCATGTAACTATGACTACATGTACTTCAGGATTTATCTTGTATGTTTTATCAGTCTTAAAGACATATTACTTCACTCGACAACAGATGCGTCTCAATGAACATAATCCATGTGACTATTGGGAGGTAAAAATACCTATAATGGCTATATATATTGTAATCTTCGCCGAAAATTTTGAGCCCTAAACCCAGGTTCCCAAAAAGAAAAAAAAAATTCCACTTCTGCATGCTTAAGTTTAGATTTGTTATAACACTACTTATGGGCAGACTATTTGAACCATACCTTCAAAAGGATATTATAGCGCATATTATATTAATTACAGTCTATTATCTCTGGTGACAGGTTTCTCAATAGTTAACAAATTATGTGTTGTAACTGATATACTCAGGTTAAATGTAACTAAATTTCAAAATGGCGACGAAAACATATAACGGTTTGATATACATATCGAGTCAAGATATAAATTACTAACTTTCTAGCGTTCTTCCTTGCCCGAGTACTAGTTCTTCAGTTACATTATCACAGCTGGACTATATTAGTTATCACTGACCGACTTTTTAGAATGCGCTTTTACATATAACAGTATTGATATAATAGGTTTAATAAGCAACACGAAATTTTTTGAACACGCATATTTTAAGAACGTTCTGCTGTTATCAATGACAATGTGATATCCGGTGCAAACTGTTTCATTGTTAAACAAGTCAGCGAGAACTTTAATCAAAATTTACTGCCATTGTATAAGCAATCGTACAATCAGCAATACAACTTAAAACACGTTTGTTATTATTATCACAAGTTTGTTTTCCACACCTTCTCACTACATGAACGTAATATAGAAATTGAATGACAGCGAAAGGGTTTTTAACGGCATCCTATTAATAAAACATAATAATACATATGCATGCATGTATTGCTACGGTACGATGCAGATTTTGCTATAACCTTTTCCGAGCCCAAATCGGCTATATGATAACAGATAAATATATCTCAGACGTGTCAGCATGAGGCTTATTGCTTTCTATTCTAGAATTTTGTTGTCATCATAGGGAGGCGTCGTGGTATTCAAGAATCAAGTTCTTCAATTAATAAACTGACTGCTTAAATTTGAACCTTGAGGTGTCGTTAATGGGGAATAGAACTGAAAGAATAAATGAGCATAAATTATACTATATACATACAATAAAGTACAATCATTCAAGTGTGCTAAGGCAGCAGTCAGGAAAGGTTCTGTAATCAAGAGAGTGCTTCAGTGTATATATCCTCATGCTGAATACCATGTCTGACCGCTATACTAATGTTATTTAATTTGATATTAAATTTTTGACATTATTCAAATAGATGTTTATGTATAATAGGTCCAATACAGAGAGCTTAAATAAACTCTTAATTGTTTGAAATCACGAAAGTGAAACTTCATTGACTGCCGGTCTTCATTTCAAGCAAGAACTGCTCCACTCGCCATAACTAACGGCTCGATTGACTTCCGGTTTGCCTACGAGTTGTCAAAAACGTCGCTCATGCTTATAAGCTCGCAAACGTCGACGTGCATCGCCAACTTTACTGGTTACATGCACGCTATACAGAATTCATAAAAGAACCATCGGCTGAATATATTTCTCAATAGTAAGCGAGGTAAAATTAGCTTCTTCACTACCTTCAGCACTTTAATTTCAAAATGCCGGAACCAGACGATATTTATAAAAACTACAAGAAACAACCTTTTTATATATAGCATCTCTATCAGAATATTTTATCAACTTTCAAAATTAAGTAGCTCTCAAACATACAACAACACAGAGATAAGGCATGCGTAAAAAATTGTTTTACCAACTGTTGCTTGACAGGCTAGGCAAGATAACAGTGAAGAATAAACGCATCAGGTGTCGAAACGTCTGTTTCACGTTGTATGATGGGGCAAACATCTGAATGATTATTCATATAATCCTGTTATTTATATAAACGTCTTATAATTATAAAACCCAAACTATATAACATTAACGTGCGTGACTGATTTGTCGCAACTAGGCACCATGTTTCATCTCGTCTACTTCTTAAAAACATCTAAATTTTGTACTGGTGCATTTATATATTTGACGGTTCCAAAAGGTTCAATCAAACACGTACGGCTAAAACAACATCTGCATGCATAAAACAGTTGCAAGCATACAATCGTAGAGTTCAGGTCTTATCTACCGGAGATTCTTGCCAGTCTAAACATCATACGAAGTCGGAATTTTCAGTGTTCGACCACGCGAGAGTTTTTAATGTCTTTCATGCAACTATTTTGAAAAGAAGGACCAAGCCGAAGGTCTGATGTATAATTTATGACTGCTAGACATATACACACTAGCTATATAGGCTAGCTGTTTAGCGAACTATACTGTATATACAAGACACAGCACTTTAGGTGTGCGGGGTCGTTATTCATGTTCGTCTAATCTTTAAGCATAAGATCAAGTTGAAATGCAACATTTCATACTTCAATTCATTAATTGAATTAGAAAGTCCTAACGGTAGCTTTACTAAGATTTTTCTTTGCATTATTTAGAAACGTCCCACATGTCAAGTCTGCGTCTTTAATCCCACTTCAAACTTACTTTATTACTGACAGATAAGTCAGCATTTTTTTCCAACAATAACGACGTAATCTCTGTGTGACGTTTCTTTACTGCGAGCAACAATGGCGTTTCTCCATCCTAAAGGTAAAAGGGAAATCCTTTTAGCACAAACAAGCGAAGATCAACCGAAATATACACAGCTTCAACAAGTTCGGCTTTCCAGCGACTGTTGCTGTTTATCTTAGAAGTTATATAACACTTGACGCCAAATTGCGAAAAACCAATAAAATGTAATCGATTCAACTCGCACGTAGCAGCAAGGTTATCCATAAGAAACGGTCTCAAGGTACCTGGGGAAAGCTAATGCGCGAAGTTTTTCCTCGCTGTAGAACAGGCCAAGCTGGCGAAACGCGACTTCCTTCAAATTCTTGCAAATATTGTTGGTAATTAAACAAAGGCTTGCAAGAACCCCTGTGTTCAGTTCATAAACCAATTATAACAATTATGATGTCATACACTGATGCACACATAGTGGGCAGCTGAAGTCGAGGATTGTGGATTTGGAGCCGTTGGTGCAATGTCGAGGGTTAAACTCGAAGTATATATAGCATGAAAACAGAAACTTGATGATAGAATGTGTAAACCCCGGCTTTATTATACATAAACAGGAGAAATTCAACCGAAATATATATGGAACGTCAAACGTATCGACATACATAAGACTTCAAACAAGTTAAACAACTTCAAATATACATGAAATATATCTTCGAGATCGATAGACCGTTCGCTGACGCGTTGTCTTGTTTGCTCGCGCGCGTTCGAATTTCCCTTGCGCTGAATTTTTCTCGAAGGCGACATTTAGCGAAGAATTCGGAACTTTTGTTCAACAATTTTCATCCAGCGGACATACGTTAGCTTCCCTGCAGTCGCATTCTTTGAGTTTAGGAACTGTAGAGGTTTTTGTTAGGAGGCGGTGGTTGTGGCGTGTTATGTTACTCTTTACATTGTCCATGCATGAGTAACTCGATGAAAAATGTTTGAAAGCAACGTAGTTTATAAAGCAGAAATAACACCGCCCCATGATGAAACGACCAAAGGCAAAGAATACATTAGAATGACTTCTACGGAGTTCAAGGTTAGATACAGAAACCACAAAAAGTCGTTCAATAAGCATACGTAAGCCTACAGTTTTCGATGGTAGTTTGGGCGACCTTATACGTTTACAATCCATTCTCAACAACTTATCTTCGACCCACGAAATTGTCACCTAACCTTTCAATACAGTACAGTACAGTACAGTACAGTACAGTACAGTACAGTACAGTACAGTACAGTACAGTACACAGCAGTATGTTGTATGTTGCTTTCACTTGGAGCAAATTAGTAATTAGCCCATACGAAAAACGAAATCATGCCACTTTCATAGGTCTTTCAAGATAAGTTCGCTAAAGATAAGAAAAAGCTCACAAATTACAGTGAAGTGAACTTTGTTGCTTGTCACTGCTTATATTTTAACTAGAAATGTAACCCACGACCCTCGCAGATGTTTAAAAACATGGACCGAAAACTTCATTTACAAGGCGGTTAAGTTGCCGAAGACAAAACAAACATCATTCCAATTAGCGTGGGAGCTTTTCGACACACATTTTATAAAAGAATGCTCATTATTTTGCCATGGCATTTTCATGTGGTAATTCTAAAACGTTAACCACAATTCCCCGTCCATATCCCGATCAAGTTACAAATAAACGTTTGCTCGCGCATGATTGTGAGACACGCATTAAATGGCCAAATTTCAATTGCCATATATTAATTAAATTCAAGGCAACTGAAATAGAGGCGAAACCAAAAATCAAAGAGCAATTGCAATAGAAGGTTTAAATTAAAAATACACAACATAATAAAATTGGACAATGATAATAAATTTTTCATCATAAAAAATCACATCAAACCTACTTTTCGTTGGGATTCTGTACAAGCGCCAAACTCTAAAAGTTCCTTCACGACAGCGGTATGATCTTTCTCAACAGCGTACCACAACGCAGTCTTGCCACCCTGTGACAAGTTGTCAATTGATCATGAAATATATAATTATGTTAACTGCTACAATCTGTAGTAATTTTTGTACATACGGCAAAGTTTAGAATCCACAGAGATGATGGGTATTGCACTAGATGGCCGAAAAACTATACATATTATGGGCTTTACCAGGGGTTTAAGGGGGAGGGAGTGCATACTTCCTATAGCCTTGGCAAATGGTGTGTGCGGGGGGATGGGTGCATGGGTTGCCAATTTCCTTATCAAATCCAATTTTTGGATTTGGAAAGGCAATTGCAAAAAGATAATAGATAAAAGAGAGTAACATGATGTGAAATTAGAAAGAATAAAGACGACTGCCTTGCTACCGCGTAGTTCCTACACAAGAAAAAAACGCACACGTTGTAACAAACCTGCAGCAGATTTGTAGCAATGCTGTTCCAACAACTTGTCGACAGGATGTGTTCGCACTGTTTGTTCCCAGCTTGTTGACAAGTTGTCAACGGCTTTTTGACAAGCTTGTTACAAGCCTGTTGCGAACACTTCTCGTTGACAAGTTGTGATTTTTACGTGTGTAAGCTCTAGTGATTACTCATCTTGGTCAGCACGACCAAAATTGGATAAGCTAAAATATATATGGCTTTCGTTCGAAATCTCCACGCAAAAGAACCCTTCAACATTCTGTTCTATATCTACAATCCTGGACAAAACGTTGTGGACAACCCACAGAATTTGGCCTCGAATGGCGTTTTTTCTAAATAATTATCCCCCCGCTCCCCCAAGCAAATGTTGAATGGGATTTTTCATCAAATACGAAGAGTGGTTAAGTCGGATATGCAACATTGAAGAGGGGTCTATATCTATGCATGGAGACGAACAAAATTTAAAATAATTCACATGCACCGTTTAAATCTGCTGTATACGAGATTCCAACTTACCAAGTCCCCTGCCTCAATATCTGCATAATGTTCCAACAATATGCGCACGATTTCTACATGTCCATCTTTGCATGCCGTGATCAACACAGGAAGTCCTTCCTATGAAAAAGAAAACTTTACGAGTACTTCTTTTGCCGCTTCTTGCTTAGTGTGTTGCATACTGTGCCCATGCAGTAAAAAGTGATCCAAATCCCACCATGGCAAATGTAGCTCTAACTGATCTATATCATGAGCATAAAGACCAATATGCCGTCTTACCTTGTCGCGAATGTTGATAAAAGCTCCATGATTGGTCAGTTTTCGAACGATACCAGTATGGCCTTGTTTTACTGCCCAAACTAACGCTGAATTATTGTTCTGAAAACGAATATTAAATTATAGCTAGCGAAAGAGATCATTGCAGTACAGAGCACTCTGAATACGATGAGAACAAATTACCATGATAAAATGGTATTACCATAATAAGATGGCGGATGTCGATCTTACTATAATGCTTTGCGGACCTAATTGGTTATAATAAGTGTTAAAATAGTTCGACTTGCTAACATCAGTTTAGGTATCAATAACGTATTTCTTACACATTTGATTATCTTGATACTATTTCTTTTCGGGTATTCTCTTAAGGTATAATGTTTTCTGCTCGCAAAAAATCATGGGAAAATCGACATCTGCCATCTTTTTTATGACGGTGACTTACTGAACATTATCGGCTTAGCAAATTAATAACCATGATGTGTGTTTATGAAACGTATTGTAAGCCTTTTATAAATATTAATAACTGAAAATAGATCCTTCCAAGGATAACGACGCCATAATGAAACACAATAGTGCAAGCGGTGCAAATACAATAGAATTTCCTTTTAGGAAAATTGCAGTGAGTGCAAACACAATGGTGAAAACAATAGATTTAAGATGGCGTCGGAAGCCTTAAATCCCCCTATTCAGATACCACTTTGTACGATGTAGTTTGCTCAGTCATACACAGAACAAGCCATAAGTACAGGTTGGCAAGAGTAAAATTGAAGGACGTTTCATAGCCATGACATGTATCTTGAAATTCATGGAGCAAAAGGCTGCAAATCAGCAAAGACGGCGTTCGATCTCTGTAAAAGGTGACGTTAAACTGTTCAAATTTAAACCATCATGAATTTCAAACAGCTTTCTAAGACATGAACAAATCAATTCAACAAAATGTGCGCGTGGAAACAAAAGCAAGAAGATTGAATTAACACTTTCGAGACTGAAGTACTTCTTTAACAATTCAAGCAGGCCTTTGGTTTTTGTTTTCAATTTCCAAGACTTCCAAAGGCCTTTGTACGAACCAGGGGTAAGAATATCAGTGACTCTCTCATCCTGGTGGTTCGTGGGCCAATATTCGATCCCACCACGTTACGGCATCATACCTGATAACTAAACAGACGGCGGCAAAATATTATCTACTTGTTACAGTTTATTACTAGAAATAGTTTTTCCATGCTTACAAATTTATAGCCAGTACATGTAGCTCACCTGATCCAAGTAGTTAACATCAGCACCTCCTTCAAGCAACACTGTCACAGCTTGTTCAAAACCTCCTTTAACAGCCATTATTAGGGGTGTCCAACCATTCTGAGAACATAAGACCAATTTCATGATTTTTCACAAGAATTTTCAAACTATCTATTATAGTTCATGTGCAGCACTGTGCTATATACGGAAAACTACTATGTACATTGTACAATGTTCAGTTTCTGAACTGCACTGAACTGTACTGTACTGTACTGTACTGTACTGTACTGTACTGTACTGTACTGCACGTCACTGTACTACACTATATTTTAGGAGATGTACTGTACTTAACTACAATGTACTGTATTGTACTTTAAAAAAATCATTAATAATTCACGAGGAAAATACAAAATAAATGAATGTTTAATCAATGTTTGTAAATCGGATAAAGATTTGTCCTGATTTGCATAAACTTCAGCTTTGATTTTCTCGGCTTAGACAATGTTTATTTTTAAAATTACTTCGCCGATGAACTCATCAGATGGGTCATTTTTTAAGTACGATAAAACATTCGCATCCGATCTGTATCTGATATACAATCTCTCGCCTTCGGCTCGAGTTTGTATATCAGATACAGATCGGCTGCTCTGCTCATGTTTTATCTAGTACGTACTGGAGTGTACTGTGTATTACATTGCATTGCATTGCATTGCATTGCATTGCATTGCATTGCATTGCATTGCATTGCATTGCACTTTACTGTATACTGTACTGTACTGCACTGCACTGTACGCTAATCCACTTTACTGCACTTTTTGTAATGCACCGTATTTTAAGTTACTATAGTACTGTCTCTCTATATACGGTATTATAATGCACTGTATTGTTATATCCGGCAATGTATACTAGCTGTGATCAGTGCTCACTGCTGAAGCCGGCCATATAGCAACAGGTTATGCTACCAAAATTGTTTATGATTTGCATTATTCAAACCTTTATTGACAAATGTATTGTCTTTAACTTATTTAGGTGCAGGTTCATTAGCATATAGCATGACCAGTAGCAAGCATGGCTAGCTTCGCCATTGGCTGTAATACATTTTACGTAATATATAGAGCATGAACGGTCGTATTGTATCAGCTGATATACAAACTCGAGCCGAAGGCGACAGGTTGTATGTCTGATACAACCAGGACGCGACTGCTGTATATACCTTGTGAAAAGCAAAGATTAATTTCAACGGTTGTGTTTTATGAAATTATTCAAAAAGATGTGGTTGTAACTGAGGGAATCGAGGAAAACGTTTATGCAAATCACGAGAATTTATATTGTATACGCGAATACTCATAATACTCATCTTTAAACATTGATTTCTTTTGAATTTTGTTCATGATTTATTAATGACTTCAATAATGTATTAATATTGCACTTACACTTCCAGACTTACTGACATCAGCTTGCTTATCCAGTAGTATTTTAATAACATCAACATGTCCTTTGCGAGCTGCCCAAACCAGGGCTGACGTGCCATACTAAAGAAAGAACCGCATAATCAGGTCACCTTCGACCATTTATAATCATTGAATCAATTATACAGAGAACCATTCGATCATAGTTCTGTTGTCAATCTCCTCTTTTCGCCATCTAAGTTGTTTTCTCTTTTTCAAGGTGGAACAATTTAAAGTTTAGGGCAGGTGCAGCGATCCAGTTCACGGCAATCATGATATGATAGGGCTTAGAACATACCCCTCTAAAGTCACCTACAGTACGTAACGTACGGATGTACTGCACATATCAACAGTATTTATGAATTATGATTTACTGCCTCATCCAATTTTGCTCTTCATCACGTTATTACAAAGTTCCTTTCGAAATATTACACAAAAAGGGTACTTGGCACAGTGATGAATGGCTATCACTTTCTCAATTTTAAAGAAAAGCTTGTTGCAAGATATAGATCTTACAGTAAGCGACATGTAAAAAAATCAGTAAGAAATATTATAGTTAACTGTTCACTTGGGGCGTTTTATCTCTCATTGATTTTCCCAAAGCGATGTCGGGGGAGGTGCGCACCATGCACATGCAACTCCACACGATATTCTGCCTTGCTTTTTCTACTTCTTCATCAATATTTTCATTTTCTCGAAATAATAAATCATTGTTTGTCGAAAGAGTTAATGCATGGAAATGCAAATGTAAAATAAAGCAGTTATTGAATTCGGTTTTTGTGATAACCGAAATTATCTCGATTCTCGGTCTCGACCTTATCGGCCTTGATAATTATGGATATCAAAAAAACTCTTCCATTAACTGTTTATTGTTGTCAAATAAAATACGCATGGTCTTTTTTGAATATCAATATGAACTGAGAAACCTTGCATTAATTACCCAAGCCTTAGTTATTGCTTCGTCTCACTGGGAAACTATGCCAACAGAATAATATTGTATCATTTGTTTATCGAAATTTGCCATGCTTATAGTATAATCAATTGGCTCAGTGACCAAGTTGTCTCATGTTTCTTGACTGTTGGTTATGTAGAATCCAAATGTTTTAATTTTGCTTTAATTCCCAAGGTCAATTGGCAAAAAGACGAACAAAATAATCTGTAATTCAAGTTAAACGTTAATGAAATAGGCAATAAACGTGTATACCAACAATAAATAAATGCAAATTAGTTTAATAGGTCGGTCTATTTCGAGTCTTTTTACTAATTTTCGAAACCGGTACTTCAAATTCAAACATTTATTTCTCGGCCAGTATAGCCTGAAAAGTCAAGTGTTATACTAATATTTGGGGTAGCCTTTCCTAAACAACTTATCTGAAGTACCACAGCTATTCTAGTTTCAGCTTCAGTTGTTGGGACATCCGGTATTATTATAACAGATTTTCGCTCCGAGGATGTATATATGACTCGCAAGTTATATGGTATATGCACGTAATTTGACCCTATTTGAACAGTATACATGCAATACCTTATCACACGAATCTGGGTTGGCACCAGCATTAAGTAATTCCTCTACCACGGCTGTGTGTCCACGACCGGCTGCCCATATCACAGGATTCATACCATGCTATACAAGAAATATATTGCACTATAATTAAAAATGAGGTACATGCATGTATGTGTATAATATAAATATTACATATATACCCGCAATAACGTATACCCGTAATTGTAGCTAATTTACCTCCATAAAAATATCGTATGCATCGATTAGAGTTCCATTAGCGTAGAAAAGTAGCTAGTAGACAATTTCGAAACTAGACTGTTCGTCCGTTCGAATCAATTTCATGGGAGAAAAAAAATTATTGTTTTATTAATTGTCCAGTTCATGATATATAGTGCGAAAAAATTAAACCTCTATAATATGAGGGCATTTGAACGGCCTAAAGTTTCACGAACAGTGAGTTGTTTTTTTTGTTACGTTGCTTTCAATGGAACAATATGAAATGAAATTCAAAATTAATTGTCGATTAACTAGCTCAATATAACAATGATTTGGGCGGCAATCTGCATGATGGCAATATACATGTAAGAGGGGGGCGTATATATTTGAGGGATATGTTAATTTTTTTAAATGTAAGATATGAAGGACTTTAAACGACGAACCATAAATGGGCATAATATTTGATCCACTGAACGTTAGCGCTCTCCCACTGAAGAGTAAAATGGCGTGATAAAATGAAGCAGAGCGCATAATTAGGGCGAAATACAACTTATATAAGAGGTTAATAAGTTTATATCAAAATAGTCAATCCAATGGACGTTGTATAGATATTGAATTTATATATTTTTCTTCTTCATATAAATAAAGATGAGGCTTTAATTTTGAATTCAGCTTTCACATGACACTTTTGGCTTCATGTAGTCATTGCGACCAGAGAATGGGCAAACAATCCAATTTAAAGAGGCTGCAGGTCGAATTTTCATTTTTCCGTTTTAATGTGATGCAGCAAAAACACAAAGATCACCCGGCAATCTTAGAATCAATTTTATTGATTATAATATATATCTGGTTATATATCACTGACTATATTGCTATGCAAGAGAAACAATAATATTATATATGACTTTGGCAAGTTGTTGAAAAGTTAATGAAACTAGTTTATTTAGTTTATATAAATTTATATATACCTAAATTAAAGTGCATATGACATGAAATTTCTTATTTTCTTAAACGAAGGAACTCTTTAAGCTGTAGTGTAACTTATTTTTCAATTTCTTGTTTTTGTACTAGTTTGTACCCGAGATATTTCAATTTGTTTGATATGTAAATCAGTGTGAATACTGTATGTCCGCTAATTTATGATGTCACATTGGTTACGAGATCAACTTGGACTGGTTATAAAAAAAAATCCTCCTTCCCAGGGCTTCTCGGCTGCCTGTGTTGGCAGCCGAGAAGCCCTGGGAACGAGGATGCTCTAAAAACTGAAGATAGCAGTTCACGTTTTTCTACAGTGTTTCTTCACATTTACCAGTATGCCAAGTTTGAAATTATCATCTTGGATGATATAGCAGTGATATTCAACCATTTTGAAGAACTTGCGACCAATTATTTGATGTCATAAATTAGCGGACATATTCATACTCATTTACACATCAAACAAATTGACATATCTCGCGGAAACAAACCATAAAAACAAGAAACTGAGAAATAAGTTACACTACAGCTTAGAGTTCCTTCATTTAAGAAAATAAGAATTTTCATGTCATATGCACTTTAAACAAGACTAACAAAACTTACAGTCAAGGGAAATTTTCACGTCGTTAGCTTTGTATAATGTGATATAACAATAATTAACAACTGAGCATGCAGGAAAACTTTGTCAGTGGACGGTCCAAGTTAAAACTACAATTCACAATTGTCTGCGAGAACATTTTTATGTATACGTTTTAATATACCTTTTTGATGGTCCTTGAAAAACTAACTCGTGCATGTTTTATCCAAATTGCACTCGAAACCATCCTATTACCTACAGATATCTGATATTTGTGTCGATTCTCATTTCTATATAAGCTGTAGTCAAAATTACGATCTAGGCCTATAGGGTTAGATTATAGTCTTGATGTCTAGACGTCTGCGCAGGTATCATTATGAAACAATAAGGTCAAACGTTGCGCTCATTAAAATGATTGAGCTTATATGCATTTCGTTCGGCAAATGAGAATTTAGCGCGTTATTGAAAACGTTAACTTCCACACGTTCAGCATGCATGTCATGCATGCATGTCATTGCATGGGCTAAGTCTGTGGCTGCATGTTGCTTCGTTTCACAGACGCTGTCGGTTTTAGATCGGTTAATTAGCTCTTGGTGCAGGCAATTTGTTAATGCCTATAAGTTCAGGCAACTTGAAAAACATTGTCAAAATTCAATGATTCCAAATTATGATTCATAAATCGCCACTGAAATATACCCCCTTCACCCTATAAGCAATGCTGCTGCATGTATGACATCATGTTTCCATTGAGAAGTATTACATGGACTGTCTGCATTTACTATACAATACCCTAATACAACATTGTTAAAGGGATACACTGGTTAAGAGGGTGCCAGATACCCTATAGGCTATACCATGCATTTTGTCGACGATTGTAGCATTTATATACGACTTCAGAATTATTTATAGTTGACACTTTTACATTATATACGTTTAATTTTACGTTGTTCGGCATGCCTGTGTTGCCGGCATGGCTTTGCACAGGCCATTGTTGCATGGGCATGGCAAAGTATGCAGATGAGGACATGAGGTTGATTGGGAGCTAGAGAACTGTGAGACACACGCACTTTAATATGTATAGCGAACCATGCAGAGACTAGACAAAGCATTCATGCAAAATATACATAGGCCAATATTGGCCATAGCAAAGAGTGCAGGTGAGGTTGATTAATGGGAGGCGAACTGTGGGACACGCGCACTTTAATATGTATGAGCTAGATAATTTGCAAACCAGAGACTATATATGAGACAAACCATGCACCCGGCTCATTAATCTTCGTCTGCGAATCAAGTAATTATATATAATAGTATCCGCTCATTGGATTGTCTGGATCCGTTATTGTTGTGTCACAGACAGTAGCTTTTGTATACATATATATTAGTATTTTATATATCACTTGGCTTGCATGCTTATTTATTATAAATTATTCTTCGCTCGCGTGTACAACTTCAGAAATGCATATATGATATAGCATGCCGATTAACGACTTACCGGCATCACTTAAATTAGTTAAAACATACTTCATACATATACAGTATATATATACTATATACATCTTCTATTCTCGTTGTCATTCATTGCATCAAATGTAGCATTCCGTCGAATTATTATCAATTAATAAAATAATAAAACGCTTCAATCATGCGTTTTTAAAGTGACATTCTGGCATATATATATATATATATATCAAACTATATACATGCAGCATGCGCAATGCGAATCAATGTTTCGTTTTGCTGTTGTTTCGCTTGCGTGTATATAATAATAAATCCACCAATTTTTGGCCTTTTGAAACAACAAAACGCTCCTTTTCTTTTGACATTAGGAAGCCAGGCAGTACTTATGTTAACAGTGTAGACTGTAGTTTCCATCTCCTATAATGACAACAACCGATACATGCTTACACTGTATATATTTGGTAAAGTTTGAGCAGAAGTCCAAAGTCAAAGCAGGTATGTACATGTAAAGTTGTTGCTATTTGCATGCATATATGTACCTGAATTTGCTGCAAGTGCATGAGGTAATACAAAACATTATACCCACAGTAAGAAATCCCAGACACAAAAGACTTATCTCGAACAAACAGTATCGAATATTCAAACTTCCAAATACATAAACCACAACAGCCATTTATAACTCTAACATAAATCCGCAAACGCACAATAGGAACGCCTAATTGAATAAGAGAACAAAGATACATACTTCTGTTGTCACGTTATTATTGGATTCTTTGTAAGAAGACTGAGGGTAACCGCGCGATACGTTCTTCTTCGGGTAGCAAAATGTTCATCACATACTTGGTATCCCTTCTTGGCTGCGAATCCACGAGTCGTTTAAACGAGTACCCGTCTCATGCATTTTGTGAAAATTACTTCACAAAACGTTATATTGCCTGTATAACTGCCAGAAAATTTCTATAATTACTTCCATCACGAGGGCGATGACTTATGAAAATACTGACAACCGCAAAGCGGATGAGAAAATAATTAACGGCATTGAATCGCGCGAGCTATACGTCCTTGTAATCTGATCAATTTACGAATGGATTAAAAGGCATAATCAAGTTGTTTTGCTTGTGAAATTGCACCCGTCAACACTTGCAATGTGTGATATGACGAAGCGACTAGTTTATACTGCAACACCGGGATATTGAGGCAAGCACGAACGCTGAAACGCGTTTACAAAGAGAGCGCTTATTAGAGTGGCATGCATGCAACGTTTGTATCTAACGGTCCGGCATTGCGGCGCTATCAGTTTTAATAAATTCCCCAGCGGTGCTATCGCGCTCGGTCACCTGTTCTGCTAATCATTAAGAATAAACAGATACAAACCTTAAAACAAAAAGCCCACAATCGTCCCTTTTGGAAGAAATAAAGTCAGGAAGCGGTGTCATTGCAGTCGAGATCGAAGCAAAGCAAAGCCCTTGACTCTCTACGACCTGTGTGGGGGATGGTTCATTCAATATTAATAGCAGCAGAACATATTGTTGAGGAAGGGCGATTATTAGCCATCTGCTTTCAATCGAAGACATGAATTTAATTTGGCACAATCGCTGACTGGTGGCATGGCAACAGCCGGGAACAACTTCTGGAAACCGAGTACTTTAATAGCACACTTTAGCAATCAAAGGAATGGATGAGTGATGCAGTGATGGAAAGAGTATGCAAACAGTCACAACCGATATTTGGGAATATGCATATCACTCAACTCGTATATAATGAATTAAAAGCGAGTTTAGCTTCACGTTTGAGCACGACAGAGAGTCGACTTTTTTTAGCAGAATTTTCGTTCAACTTCTTCGCTTCGCCTGATTTTCTTACTTATGTCGAAAGAATCAATATAATTGGCCATAAATCACAGTTTTAAAATAACAAATTAATTTACTCTTTATTGCCGTATAGCGTAAAATATGAATCATATAGCTATATATTAATGCAATTTTCCAAGTATGATCAAAGTATAGCATCAACCTTG